AGCATTCTGGCACAGTCGAACTCTATGTTACTCATACCTGCCTTTTCCGCAGCTGTAAACAACGTCGCAACTACGTCTGATGCCTCAGATGCCAGAACTGCTATGACGTCATTGTGGCTCGCGATGTACTCTCCACCCATCAGCTCTGTCAATCTGCAGCGCATGATGGCCATGGGGATTTGCATCCGCTTTCCGATAGTCACGTTGCGCTGCCTGATCATGTTTAGTATGGGCTTAAATCGTGGATTGGTGGGGAATCCTGCATCGCCAATTCCATCTGGCCCACCCAGCTCCGCGTTCTCCTGCAGTTGCCCCCACTCGACATGGACAGGGTGGGAGGGCCATAAGATGAGCGATCCAGGGGTGAGGGGGGGGTGGATGTGCTCGACTGGACTGGACCATGGGAATGTGGGTGACTTTGCGGGGGTTGTTGGGGGGCTGCTGGCCATGATAATTGGACAAATAATGTGAGCCATGGAGGGGAGACAGCACGTGTATGTCAGTTGGATTGGGGGCAACCAGAGGTGGATATGTGGGAGACTGGAGGGGTGAATTTGTGGTGATTGGAGTGTCGGAAGGCGGCTCAATGCGCGTGCGTAGTGAATGATGGGGGTGGGCCGTACGTGTAATGCATGGGGGAATACGAGCATCCGGAGGGGGTTTGGTGATGGAGGTAGGGCCATGTCTCAAGTGACCCTTGGACAGATTCGGGCCTCTTTCCCTCATTCCTCAAGGGTCCTCTTTTGGCGCCACCATGTTTTTCACTTCCCAACACTCTACCTTCTCTAAGGCCACGCTAACCTGAAAGTATACCCACCGTCTCTTGCGGTCTCAACATTCTCTCCCTCTCTCTCCCCACTGTCCCAACCTGTTTCCCTCACAAAAGCTACACTCTCCTGTTTCTCTCACCCCCCCCGGTCTCCCAATTCTCTGTCTGCTCTCTCCACCCTCTCACCACTACCTCCAACTCTCTTCCCTATCTAATGCCACACTCTCTTGTTTCTCCACCCAACCCCCCCCCGCTGTCTCCCCGTTCTCTCCCTCTCGCTCCCCACCCTCTCCCCACTACCACCCAACTCTATTCCCTCACTAGTGCCACCCTCTCCCCACTACCTCCCAGCTCTCTTCCCTCACTAATGTCACCTTCTCCTGTTTCTCTCCCCACCCTCCCCCCCCCTGTCTCCCAATTCTCTGCCTGCTCTCTCCACCCTCTCACCACTACTCCCAACTCTCTTCCCTATCTATTGCCGCCCTCTCCTGTTTCTCCCACCGCACTCCTCCCCCCCCTTTGTCTCTCAATTCTCTCCCCCCCACAACCTCCCAACTATCTTCCCTCTCTAATGCCACCCTCTCCCTGTTTCTCTCCCCCACCCTCCCCCCCCTGTCTCCCAATTCTCTGTCTGCTCTAATCCACCCTCTCACCACTACCCCCAACTCTCTTCCCTCTCTAATGCCACCCTCTCATGTTTCTCTACCCACCTCCCTGCGCTGTCTCCCCATTCTCTCCCTCTCGGTTCCCATCCCTCTCCCCACTACCTCCCAACTCCCTTCCCTCTCTAATGCCACCCTCTCCTGTTTCTATCTATCCCCACCCTCCCCCCGCTGTCTCCCAATTCTCTCCCTGCTCTTCCGCCCCTCTCCCCAGTATCTCTCATCTCACCGCCCCTCTCCAATGCCACACATCATGTTTTCTCTGCATTCTCTGTGGGCTTTCCCTGAACTCTATGTTTTCCACGCTCCCGGCTCCCCCCCCTTACCATCACCAATGGCCTTCTTTGTCCCCTCTGTTCCCATTCTCTACCCTCATCGCAAAAACGGCAGAATGCGGAGTGGAGGGTGTATTATTGGCTGAAGGCCTGCCTCTGTGGGTTGCCTCTGCCTCTGCCAGGGGAGCGTGGCGTGGCAAATGGCGCTAGTGGGCCTCTGAGGTGCTGCGGAGGCGCATAAGAGGGAGTCAGCCTCACGCGGAATGCTGGGTAGGGGCGCGCGGTATAGGTGGGATGCAGGGAGTGGAGCGAGGCGACGCGGAATGCGTGGGAGGGGAGAGTGACGATGCGGAATGCGTGGGTGGGGAGAGAGACCCCGCAGAATGCGTGGGAGGGGCCAGAGAGGACGCGGAACGCGTGGGAGGGGAGAGAGACGACGAGGAGTTGTGGGAGGGGAGAGAGACGATGTGGAATCGTGGGAGGGGAGAGAGACGACGCGGAAGCGTGGGAGGGGAGAGAGACGACGTGGAACGTGTGGGAGGGGAGAGAAACGACGCGGAATGCGTGGGAGGGGAGAGAGAAAACGCGGAAGGCGTGGGAGGGGAGAGAGACGACGCGGAAGGCGAGGGAGGGGAGAGAGACGACGCGGAACGCGTGGGAGGGAGAGAGACGACGCGGAACGCGAGGGAGGGAGGGGAGAGAGATGACGCGGAACGCGAGGGAGGGAGGGGAGAGAGACGACGCGGAACGCGAGGGAGGGAGGGGAGAAAGACGACGCGGTGCGCGTGGGAGGGGAGAGAGACAACGCGGTGCGCGTGGGAGGGGAGAGAGATGGTGCGGAACGCGTGGGAGGGGAGAGAGACGGCGCGGAACGCGAGAGAGGGGAGAGAGACGGCGCGGAACGCGAGGGAGGGGAGAGAGGCGACGCGGAAAGCGTGGGAGGGGAGAGAGACGACGCGGAACGTGTGGGAGGGGAGAGAGACGGCGCGGAACGCGTGGGAGGGGAGAGAGACGGCGCGGAATGCGTGGGAGGGGAGAGAGACGGCGCGGAACGCGTGGGAGGGGAGAGAGACGGCGCGGAACGCGTGGGAGGGGAGAGAGACGGCGCGGAACGCGTGGGAGGGGAGAGAGACGGCGCGGAACGCGTGGGAGGGGAGAGAGACGGCGCGGAACGCGTGGGAGGGGAGAGAGACGGCGCGGAACGCGTGGGAGGGGAGAGGGACGGCGCGGAACGCGTGGGAGGGGAGAGGGACGGCGCGGAACGCGTGGGAGGGGAGAGGGACGGCGCGGAACGCGTGGGAGGGGAGAGGGACGGCGCGGAACATGTGGGAGGGGAGAGGGACGGCGCGGAACGCGTGGGAGGGGAGAGAGACGACGCGGAACGCGAGGGAGGGAGGGGAGAGAGACGACGCGGAACGCGAGGGAGGGAGGGGAGAGAGACGACGCGGTGCGCGAGGGAGGGGAGAGAGACGACGCGGTGCGCGTGGGAGGGGAGAGAGACGACGCGGTGCGCGTGGGAGGGGAGAGAGACGGCGCGAATCGCGTGGGAGGGGAGAGAGACGGCGCGGAACGCGAGGGAGGGGAGAGAGACGACGCGGAACGCGAGGGAGGGGAGAGAGACGACGCGGAATGCGTGGGAGGGGAGAGAGACGACGCGGAAGGCGAGGGAGGGGAGAGAGACGACGCGGAACGCGTGGGAGGGGAGAGAGACGACGCGGAAGCGTGGGAGGGGAGAGAGATGATGCGGAATGCGTGGGAGGGGAGAGGGACGACACGGAATGCGTGGGAGGGGAGAGAGACGACGCGGAATGCGTGGGAGGGGAGGGAGACGACGCGGAATGAGAGGGAGGGGAGAGAGACGACGCGGAATGCGTGGGAGGGGAGAGAGACGACGCGGAATGCGTGGGAGTGTTGCGAGGCTCGGAATGCGGGACGACGTGGGATGTGTGGGAGGGGTGAGCGACGTGGCTACACTCTGCGCTGGATGGCAGGCGTCGTTTTGGCGGAAAGATCTGGCTGGGGTGCGCGGCGTGGCGGGTTCGCGCCACTGGTTATTTTCATTGAGCGGCACGGGACCTGCGTCCACAGCTGTAATCCCGAGGGGTCTTATCCTACTCGACCGTCACCTCTTCACCCTCTCCCGCACGGCCCTCACCTCCTCATTCCTCTCGCTGGGCTCGGCATTCGCGCTCATGTCGCGCCTCTTCTTCTCGACCCGCGGTGATTCCCTTGGGCTCCCCACATGTGCGTTCCCCCCCGTGTCGTTTCCTCCTAACGCCGCGCCTTTCGCCACGTGCGGCGTGTGCTGGCCGCGTGTCCTAGTTATGTGGGCTACCCCTTACTTGAGCTTTACGAGGTCTAGCAGTGCCTGGGGTGTGGGCGTTCTGTGTGAGTCCAGAGTCTCATGTACCGCTGGGTGCGTCGTTTGTTTTGCAGTTGGGTTGCCTGGCTGCCGAACGTAATTGGGTTCGGTAACCGTACCTCTGCCTTTTACTTGAATGTTCCGGCTTGGAGCTTCTCCGAGCCTTGTTTTTGGGTCCCAACCACTGAACCACACTTTGCGAAGGTTGACATGGTTACCCTGCGAGCAAGTGTTTTGCAGTTGCTCCAATTTCTCTTACTTGAGACCCTGGCTTTAAGTGGCAGGTGCGATTTGGCTTTGCGCCACACGAGATGTTCGCGAGGTCGCCTTGTCCTCGTCAAGCCCGGCCTGGCGAAACCCCAAAGCGCCACAGGTGTCCACCGATACCAAAACGTATACCTAACGTCACCGAATCGTGAACAAATCTTGACTGGGTGCATTCACAAGCGTCGAGCGTCCCGAGTTACGTCAATTTCGCGCACATGTCCTCGCGAAATCTAGACGAGGTTAAAACCGGGTTGCTTTTTCATGAAATGAATAGAGTATGAACTATTTGGACCCGCCCTCAGCCATCGCAGAAACCAAATGGCCCTTTCTGCTCCAAGCCTGACATCATCCGCGATAGTAGGAAGGAAAAGCTGTTGTGTAAGAAGCGTTACATTTAAATGCAGCATAAGAAAACTCCTGCCTATTCACAGCAGTATTTCTATCTCAAAAGCCATCCCTGTGTATCCTTACGCCAAACCTTGACGAGAGTCGACGTGGAGTGGGAAAAGCAGATGGGCTTGGCTCATCAATCGCAGGAGAGAAGCAGCCTGGGGAGAGGGTGTTTGGAGTCGACTCAAAACGCATCCTTGTGCACCGCTACGCCAAACCTTGATGAGAGTCGCCTTGGAGTGGGAGCAGCAGAAGGGCTTGGTCATCAATCACAGGAGAGAAGCAGCTTGGGGAGAGCGTGGTTTGAGCCAACTCAAAATGCATCCCTGTGTACAGTTATGCCAAACCTTGATGAGAGCCGTCGTGGCGTGGGAGCAACACAAGGGCTTGGCTCATCAACCGCAGGAGAGAAGCAGCTTGGGGAGAGCGGACCGCACGGAGACTCGGGAGGATTCAAGGGAGACAGCAACGGTCGAACACAAGCAGGCCTCCCTGCACCTGCATTGCACACAGCCTCTGTAGAAACCCCCCCAACATTTGCAGCATTCAAGGCTCCAGAAGTAGTACCACTATCCAACAGAGCTTGCATGCTTTGATATTCGACGTTAGAATTGTCGAAATCCTGTTCTGGTCCGGGAGTATCGCCCCCACACCTGTTGTCCCAAGCCTCATTCTCCTCAACCTGAACAAGTCTCGAGTTGAGCCTTCCAGGCCCTGGCCCAAATTGGTAGGGAGTGCCGTTTCCTCCAATGGTACACATACTTCTGTCCGACACACGCCCTGTGCCTTGTCCCATTTCACGCGTACTGCCTTGACGAGGAAAATGCCCGTCTTGGGATTGCAGAATGGGTTGAGAAACAGCAAGAGCCACGACTTCTTCCTCATGTGACGTGGTACCTTGGAGTGGCTTTTCTCTGTTGCCAGGGAAATAACCAGGTGAATATCCAGGTGGAAAGCCAGGTCGAATGCCAGGCGAATTGCCTGGTCCCAGGAGAGCACAGGGTGCTGTGGGGGGCCTGGAAAGCACAGTTGAAAGCGCAGGGAAGCTTCTTGGAAAGCGGTGGATCTCAACCAGTTCCCTAGCAGCTTGCAGTGCCATGGCTCGCAGTCGTGCTGCTGCCTCTGCTGCCATGTCAGCAGCTTCAGCTGCTGATGACACCTGGCCAATCAGAGCGCAGCTTGTCTGATCAGAAATGACGGTGGCACCAGGAGGTATGGCAGAAGGCTGAGATGATTCCCCTGCCGCTGTAGGCGATGCTTCCGAAACCCCTTCAAAAGACAGTCTCCCTAGGCTGCTAGCCCGGTCGGCACCGCTGCTGCTGCTCCTGCTGAAGCTCCTGCTGAAGCTGCTGCTGAAACCCCACGCCGTCTCCTCCGAAGCCCCATCCTCCATAGTCTCTTCCCCTGCCTCATCGCCCTCTGCCGCCCAGCAATCAGCTATCATAGATCGGTTGCTGCTGCAGCCTTCTCTGCTAACGCCCCATGGGAGTCCAGCCTCCTGCTGCTGAGCACAAACACCAGCACCAACACCAGCATCACTAACACCTTCCTCATCTGTGTCGGCACCACATTGCACCTGTGGCAGCAGCAGCATGTGGCGACCCTCCTGCCGTGCGCGCCAGAGCTGTCCCACTTCTCCGCAGTAAATCTCCTCCGTTGCTTCACGCGCTTCTCTTGGCAATGACATGGATTTTCCGACGGCATCACCAAAGCCCGCAGCAGTGATTGGATCAGCGCTTCCCTGGCAGCTGCACGTTCTGCAGACGGTGGCTGGGCGAGAAGGGAACCACACACGGTACGTGCTTCCAAGCCGCAGCACCGCTCCAGGCGAGAGCGTGCTGCTACGCGATGTGACTGAACCGAGGGCAGCACCGGGGGGAAACCCCTGCAAGATTGACCCCGCAGTGACTGGTTCAGTCAGAATGCGGACCCCCCCGTCGGGAAGGAGGAGAATGATTGTGGGCGGTAGCTGCTGCTGCTGCTGCTGCTGCTGCTGCTGCTGATGCTGATGATGATTGAAATGTTGTGACTTTTGAGGCGTTGCGAGGATGCGAGGGGTGAGTAAGCGAGCGACGAAACCGCTAGTGCCATTAGTTAGCACAGTTAGCCGCCGGCCAAAATTGCTGCTGCTGCTGATGCTGCTGCCGCTGCCGCCGATGCCTCTGCTGCTGCTGCCGCTGCTGCTGCTGCCGCCACTGCGACTGCCGCTGCTACTGCTGCTGCTGTTGCTGCTACCAATGCTGTTACCGCCGCCGCTGCTGCTGCTTCGGCGGCTGCTGCACGCTGATGCCGTTTTCTCTAACCCCAGGTACTGAATTTTCTTACAAGTCGAGGCAGCGCCAGCAGGGCTTGCAGAGACATCAGCGGCAGCAGCAGCAGCAACAGCAATGGGCTGAAAGGAACGGCAGCAGCTCACTGCAACGCCGGCCAGCGGGGAATCGTCGTCACTGATGGAATTGAGCCACGTGGCAGCACCAGAGGTGTGATCAGTACATTGTGAGACCGGGACCGAGAGCGACAGATCCTCAACAGAATCCTCCTGAGATTTCTCCTGAACAGGTCGGCTCATTTTCTCCTGACGCGGAAAATTATCCAGGTAAGGCTTGAGGCCAGTGCGTGAAAGGACGGCAGCACGGGTACGCCCACGCAGGCAAATGGGGGATTGAAGCGGATAACGCGGATGCAGCTAGAGAAGGATGCAAGGGAGGAGGAGACGGTGGAGATTAAGCGGACTCAAGGACAGTCAGTAGTGGGCCGTTAGATCAGGTGGTTGGAGAACTCCGTCCTGGTAATTCCGTTCTACTAGATTACGTCCGTGGGTTCGGCATTCCCAAGGGGCCTTCACGACCCAGACGGACTGGGATACAGACGGAAATAGGCTCGCGAGTTTAGTAAAGAGAGAAGAGACGACGGTATATAAGTTAATGCGCCTCTTGCTGGTCCGTGCTTGCATCTCCTATCGCGTGGTAGAAACGGGACGATGACGGGTGGCCAGCACAACAGAGGTCTCGCTCGCTGCTGTGAGCGAGCGTCACTCGTTTAAAATAAGCTTGAACGGGGGGGATGCAGCCAGAGCGGATCTAGCCTGCGCTAGTGGTAGCAGCAGTTCGCAGAAGCTCGCACGCGAAATCCAGCACCAGCCAGCGTGATGAGCTGAGGGGGTGGTAGCTCGCAGTATTAGTAACGGCAAAAAATGCTCCTGAAAAATGCTCGCAGTATTGAAAGCGTGAGACCCAGGTTCTACCGTGACCGTGATTCCCACGTGAGAGCCCCGCTACCCGGCGCGTGGTTATGAGGCGCCTCAAAACAAGACGTGAGACCCTGATTTCACCCCGTGATTCCCACGAGAGAGCCCACCTAGTAGGTACTACGCATGCAGTCGCTACGGTGCTACCGTACTGTGCTTGGGAGGCTGAAAAAGGACCTCAATCGACCCTACTGACGTCGAATTCGAGGCGCTTGAGCAGATCGGAAACTAAAAAGTCCGATTTTCCACGCACGATGGCTGGACTCCAAGGAATGACTACTCCTACAAGTAGCAGCAGCAGCCCTTGGAAACAAGCCTATACCGAGCCTGCTACTACCGGGCCTGTTACTACCGAGCCTGTTACTACCGACCGATGGCTAGCACTAACGCATGCCTCGGCACGGCTGGCACTGCGCACGGCAAACGGGAAAAAGCGTCCTTCTTGCACCGTTACAAGAAACGTCCAATAACAAACCGGTGCATCATTCGAGGCGTTTCGAAAAGGGGGGGTCTCAGCAGGCAAGCGGACCGGGAATCCTAATCTTTTGAGTCGACTCGAAAAAAAGCGTTCCAGCTTAGACTCGGCAGCAGGATGTGCCGGACGGACTTGGGCTTAGCCAGCGTCTCGTCTACTCGTCTCGTCTCGTTTAGTGGTACCAAACTTGGTGAGTCGCGAGAGTCCATGATGGAAAATGGGTCTGTGCGAGCAGATCCAAGTTCCTTCCAACCAAGGCTGAACGAGACCGCGTTCTCCGCCTCTCCTTCGCCTCCCTGTTTTTTTCCCGTGGTTAACAGCGCATCTAAGCTTGCTTGTTTGTGTGTGAGAGAAAATGGCGGACCAGATGTGAATCCCTCATAGGACGGTGTTCTATGGCTGACCAGATTTGAATCGCCTAGGGATTGGATGGAAAAAAGTTGAACCCTACTTCCACTTTCAAGGCACGTAACAAAGTCCGCCATGCGAAGTGGCTGCAACGGACTCTGGCGACTGTGTTAAAACCCGCGGCCCAAATTGTTCATACGCAGTGCGTATGAAAAATGGGTGCTGGGTTTTACGAAACGCACTGAAAAGCTGCGAGGGTGTTCCTTCTCGCAAATTGAAAATGTTCGTGGACCGTCAGTTTCGCCAGCAGGCAGTTCGACGGTTGAGATTACGCGACGAATCACTGGTGGTGCAATGGAGTAACGAATTGGCTTGAGGGCCGTCAGAGGAGAATCTAAGTAAAAATGGACGGCCGAAAAACGCACTGCACATGGAGTCCCAAAATGCTTGGCGCACTGAACTTGAAAGCCACCCCTGACTGACGAGAGCCACGTTACCCCACTCGACCCCCACGAAAGCATGACTTTCAAATGCACTGCATTTGAAGGCCGCGCATTGTAATTTGGGCCGCGGGTTTTAACCTGGCTTCGCTGACAAGAAGGCGACGAGTAGCTAGCGACAGAACAACCAGCGTGAAAACCGTATCCGTGACAAAACAACTGACAGCGGGAATCGGAAACGAAAATCGGCGGGGTTCAGGTAACTGCCCGTGACGACGGGAATTGAAAACGCGATTTTCGGAAGCGCGTCATTCCCTCCAGGTTGTTGGTTGCGACAGACTCCTCCACACATGGTCATCTCGGTCAAACTTGGACGGAGAGGCCGACTCCTTAAAAGTGATTCTTTACCACAATAAAACATGAGCTCCCAAGCAGAAAAAGTAAATACCCAGAATACAGATCTTACCATAAATATGAACACGAACAAGAAAACCACTTTTGCTTGTCATGGCAAATGAAGAGAATTGTCTTTCCATCCTCATGTGGTCCAAACAGGCATGCATCACGGGTTTTTTTCAGCACATTTTTCAGCAACAGTGCACTGTTCATCATCCCCCTACGAATCGTCGCCAGCCAGATGTACCTACCACCCTCACTCCTCTAATACCGCCCACCACCACCCCCACCACCACCACGATTGCTATACCCACCCCCTCCCCCACCACCCCCACCACCTTGATACCCGTGATGATCCTGTTGCCTGTATGCCCCTCCCCCTCCCGCTTTAGACACCCTTGGAGGCGCTTCCTCCTCATACTCATCATACCCTCCCCTCCCTCCTCCACCTCCTCCTCCCCCACCCCCTCTCCCCCCATACTCCCTACCGTAATCACTGCCCCTGTCGTCTTGCCCATCATCCCTCCCGTAGTCCCCTCCTCCTCTCCCCCCTCCCCCTCCGCCACCTCCCCCTCCCCCGTACGCTGGCCTGCTGCCACTGCTGTGAGAATGGCTGTCGTGAGGGTCCCCGCCTCCAGATGCAGCTGGGGCGTCTGAGTGAGTGTTGGGGGGAGGGGTTGGGGAGGGGGTTTATGGGACAAGAGTGAGAGTGAGGGAGAGGGAGGATGCCCCCGAATGCTGGCCGGCCTCCAGTGTTGTGAGAGTGGCTGTCGTGGGGGTCCCCGCCTCCAGATGCAGCCGGGGCGTCTGCGTGAGTGAGTGTGAAGTGGGTGGAAACGGGAGAGGGGGGGATGGGATGAGAGAGAGAGAGAGAGAGTGAGCGATAGAGTGAGAATGTGTGTGGGATGTAAAGTGACGGAGGGGATAGGGGCGACTGTTGTGGGGGTCAGAGCCACCAGATGCAGCTAAGCCGTCTGTGGGGGATAGGGGGAAGGGATACGGAAAGGCATATGTGTAATGTGATGCGAGTGGGAGAGATGGCAGTTGATAGGGGGTATTATACAAGGAAGAATGGCTAGCTGGAGAATGCGGGTGTCACAAAGAGGAGGTGTGTGTGGGGTTGCAGAGAAAGCAATAACTCGTGCAAGCAATAACTCTTTGAAACGAAGATGTGAGAACATGTGGACAGCTGTCCAGTCCAGTGGAGCCAGGTAATTTATTATAAAATATATATATGAGGGCATGATCAAGAGTAAGGGTGCTGAGGTCATTACCTGCAAAGAGGGAGTTGAGGCCTGGCTTCTTGCCCTTGCTCTTCTTTTTCAGTTCCAGCGCCCCACCTGAGAAAAAAACCAGACCATCACAAGAAGTCCGAAGAGGTGAACAGGGAGGGAAGGCGTAAATCTGCATGGTAAAAAAGGTCCAACGCCCCAGCAGTAACGTCTACCTAATAGAACCAATACACTGAACCAGAAAATGTCAGGAAATGTAAAAACACCACACAAGGGCGGGCCAAACAGAGAAATAGGACAGGCAGAGTCGAGTGATGGGAAACATAGGAGGAAAATGGGTGCGTAGCGGACCATACATACAGAGAGCGACACGTTAAGCACCATATGCAGTAAGTTGCATGGCCCAGCATTTATCTACTCTACCATGGCTCAGCATGTGTGTACGCACCTAGGGGTGAGTGTGTACGCACCTAGGGGCGAGTGTGTCTCCTGCACTATCTCCATGTTGCGGTAGGTGTAGCCCACAAAGTTGATGTCCTTGGATGGCAGCATCTGGAGGGGAAGAGAAAGTGGGGGGGAAGTTGAAGAGGGGAGGGGAAGGGAACAGACGGGCGAGTGAGTCTACAGATGCTTGTAGCCCACAAAGCTGATGTCCTTGAATGGCAGCATCTGGGGTAGAAGGTTGGGGGAAAAGAGGAGGGTGCAGATGGGGGAGGCGGGGGGGAGGGGGGAGGGGGGGAGAGGGCAAGGAGGGCAAGAGAAGGGGCGAGTGTGTCTCCTGCACTATTTCCATGTTGCAGTAGGTGTAGCCCACAAAGTTGATGTCCTTGGATGGCAGCATGACTCGCACACAAGTCATCGGAATCCCGCTACCCTGTGATTAGCCCAGTCACTTCCCTTGCAAACTTCTTCTCGACATTTCTGTGTGACTATTGGGGCTTCACAGTACAAGTCACCTTCACAGTGCCGGGTGGCTCATCTGGGAAAATCAGCTCACCTTTTTCTGGAGGCCTAGCTGTTTGCTTAGAACGATAAAAAATAAGAGTGCTAAATCCTGGGGAAAATAGTGCCTAGTGCTAAATCCTCGGGAAAATAGTGCCTAGTGCTAAATCCTGGGGAAAATAGTGCCTAGTGCTAAATCCTGGGGAAAATAGTGCCTAGTGCTAAATCCTGGGGAAAATAGTGCCTAGTGCTAAATCCTGGGGAAAATAGTGCCTAGTGCTAAATCCTGGGGAAAATAGTGCCTAGTGCTAAATCCTGGGGAAAATAGTGCCTAGTGCTAAATCCTGGGAGAGCTTGTCTCACCTTCTTCCAGGGCCCTGCCTTCTGCGCTCCACTGGCCTCAGGCACCTGCAGCGCAGAGAAGGAGAACGGGTACGAGAAATAGGAGGAGAGAGAAATATGATCGGTATGATCAGTAACAGAGAACGCCACCGTGGCAAGACGGGTCAGTCAGCCGGAGTGGAATGATGAGACGGACAAGACGGGTCAGTCAGCCGAGCCAGAAAGGGCTGTGAGGGTGAGAAGGACGACTTTTGAGTCGACTCAAAAGCACAAGGATGAGACGGGCAAGACGGGTCAGAAGACATGTCAGCAGAAGGGGTTGTGGGAGAGAAGGACGGCAAACGCCAGAAAGGGCAATTTGACATGCCAACACTCGAGATTTTTCTCGATTCTGCGTGTTTCCAAATCGTCTCACCACGTCAAAACTCTCAGATTTCTGGATGTCCCCTGTTCCATCTAACACTATAACCCGCTCACCTCGTCAAACCTCTCAAAAGCCCTGGGTGGGTGTCATCTGAGCGTCCTTGGAGTGTTCCCAAGTACTTCTAAGTGCGCCCAAAATTCACCTCATCAAACCTCTCAAATCTGCAACCATCCCACCTCGTCAAACTTCTCAAAGTTCTGGATGTCTCACCTCGTCAAACCTCTCAAATCTGCAACTGTCTCACCTCGTCAAACTTCTCAAAGTTCTGGGTGTCGAGCTCGTCGTTGACCTCCGGGAGGAAAGCCGCCTCCATCTTGTACAGGCGGTCCCAGGGGAGGCCGCGGAACCACGGGTGGTTCTGAGGGTGGGGCGGGGAAGAGGGGGGTACGGGAAAGGGATTGCAGGTAGGAGTGGAGGATGAGAGAGCTGCACCCCCCATCTTGTACAAGCCGTCCCAGGGGAGGCTGTGGAACCACGGGTGGTTCTGCATGTGACGCATGGCAGGGGCGGGGGGGAGTCGAGGGGGTATGAACAAGGAACCACAGGTGTGATTCTGGGTGTGGGGGTTGGGAAAGGGTGAGATAAGGGGGCTGGGGGCAGGAATATTGGGGTGAGAATCTGGGGGGACTGACTTTGGGGGACAGATCAGCCTTTATCGCGTACAGGCGGTTCCAGGGAAGGGAGCGGGACATGGTTGGTTCTATGCAAAGGATAATGAAGGAGGGATGTGGGAAGAGGAGGGAGGTAGGGAGGGGGAAAGGGGGGTGGAGAGGCGGGGAGGGAGGGGGGGGGGGAGGCGAGCTGGGCAATCCACGACTCACCTTGATGTCGCTGACGCTGCGGGTGCCCAGGCGGTGCTCCACGTCGCACAGCAGGCGGCAGATGAGGTCCCTGGCCTCCCGTGAGATGATCACCTCCTCGGGGAACTTGAGGTGCGTGCGCCAGTTCACAATCTGGGAATAGGAGACGACGAGGGAAGGAGGGGGGGGAGGGGGGGGAGGGGGGACGAGGGAAACAGAGGGATCGAGGGAAGATCAGGGGGCTGGAAGGGGTAAGCCCAGGTCCCTGGCCTCCCGTGAGATGATCACCTCCTCGGGGAACTTGAGGTGCGTGCGCCAGTTCACAATCTGGGAATAGGAGACGACGAGGGAAGGAGGGGGGGGAGGGGGGGGAGGGGGGACGAGGGAAACAGAGGGATCGAGGGAAGATCAGGGGGCTGGAAGGGGTAAGCCCAGGTCCCTGGCCTCCCGTGAGATGATCACCTCCTCGGGGAACTTGAGATGCGTGCACCAGTTGACAATCTGAGTAGCAAGGGGGGGCGGGGGGGGAGGGATTGGAGAAGAAGTAGGAATGTGAGAGAGGAGAAAGTGGGGTTAAGGGACAACAGGAGCCCCCTGGCTGGCCTCCCTGGAGATGATCACCTCCTAGGGGAACTTGAGATGCGTGTGCCAGTTGACAATCTGAGTGGGGGGTGGGGGTGTGGATTGGAAGGAGAAGTGGGAATGTGAGAGAGGAGAAAGGAAGATTTGGAGGGACACGAGGATGTCCCTGGGCTCCCTGGAGATGATCACCTTCTTGGGAAACCTGAGATGTGTGCGCCAGTTGACGATCTGTGAGGGGGGGTGGGGGTGTGGGGGTGGAGAGAGAGTAGGTATTCAAGGGGTTGAGAGGGTTCGGCCACCTCCTCGGGGAGCTTGAGATGTGTGCGCCAGTTGATGATATGAGAGGGAGGCATTGGATTGGATGGAGGGGGCAACGGCGGATAGGAAGAAAGATGGACTTAGAAGCGGGAGGTGGACAAGGGGCAACAAATCTAGTTTTGAGGCGCCTCAAAACAAATCTTTCCCATCACATTTAATAATAGAAGTGACGCACCTTACAACAGGCTAACATGGGGCCGTCAGAGTAGAAAGGACGAGGGGCAACAGAGCAGTGAGCACTCACCACGCACTTGGTAGCAAAAGCGACCCACCTTACGACAGGTTGTCATGGGGTCGTCAGAGTAGAATGGCGGGTAGCCAATGAGCATCTCGTACATGATAGCTCCCATGCTCCACCTGGAGAGATGGGGTGAGTAAGTGGCTGAGTGAGTGGCTGGATTGGAAGAGGGGCATGGGATGGGATACATGAGCCAGAGAGGGCAATCATAGCCAGTGCACGCAAATAATATACATATCCGCATGCATGCAACATACAATACCACAAACACGCCAATACGCACCAATCGCACTCCAGGCTGTAGCCCTTCTTTAGAAGCACTTCCGGTGCAATGTAGTCTGGAGTACCCACTGTGGAGTACGCCTGAGGGGCAGGTGGAGGAGGAGTGAGAAAGAAGAGAGGAAACGAATAGAAAGAACGGAAACAGTTGGAGACGGACGGAAAACGTTGGAGAAAAATGGATGCATTCTGGAGTACCCACTGTGGTATACCGTGGTTACCGCTTGGGGGGGAGCAAGGATAGAGGATAGGGAAGGAGAAAGTGGGAGGAAAAGCCCTCATTGCACATGGTTAAACCTTGAGTGAGGGAGAAAGTGAGGGAATGTCGCCCTTACATAAAGGCATGGTCAACGACCCGACCCGGACCGGGACAGGACGGGCCGGGCCGGGCTAGGGTTGGGCCGACTCTGCTAACACCAACTCTGGCGGCTCCGGCCATGCAGGTCGTCAACGAGCCATCCTGCCCATCGCATTTCGCCCTGACGGGGCGCTTGTGACACGCCGAGTTTCGGAGACAGGCCGCCCATGCCCGTTGCTCAAGCCTACTTACATTCGACGACAGATAGCACAGCTGTGTGTAATGAGTCGTTTTCTGAGTCGACTCAAAAATTGACGACAGATAGCACAGCTGCTCCGCCTGGCTTCTTCCCCTCCCGGACTGGGAGAAGTAAAGAAAAGCCAAAAACCAAAACCCTGACCCCTTTCCTCTCACTGTTCCCATCCCCCAGCCTACCAGCGTGCATCGGTTCTTCTCCCAGTTCTGCAGCTGCTCCGCCTGGCTCTGCCCCGACCCCGTCTGGTATCTAGAGACGGGTTTGACAGCATGGCTGCTGCTGCACCTCCACGTCCACAGCGGAGAAGGCGACCTCCTCACCTTCCGTTCCCCCTCCCTTTGCCTGCCCCCCCCCTCCTCTCCAAGCCTCAGCCTTTCTTCCCTCCCCCTAAACTCGAAACCCTAGAACCCTCTTTAACCACCCCTTCCCTCCCCCTCTCCTCCCCTCCCCCCCCTTCTCACCAGCGTGCGTCGGTTCTTCTGCCAGTTCTGCAGCTGCTCCGCCTGGCTCCGCCCCGACCCCGACTGATTCCCGTCAAGGGACGCGTTCGACAGCATGGCGGCAGCCTCCTCCACATCCACAGCGGGGAAGGTGCTGGTGTCGAGGGGCTTGCAGAGGCCGAAGTCCGACAGCTTCATGTGCCCGTGGCGGTCCAGCAGGAGGTTGTCGGGCTTGATGTCCCTGAGAGGGGAGGGGGAGTGTGGGGCGGTTAGGGGAGTGGGGGGGGGAGGAGGAGGGGAAGGGAGAAGAATGGTCTTCTTTGGCACCTCAGGCGCCCAGGAACGAGGGCAGGGGGCGGGAGGGACGGTGGGAAGGAGGGGGGGAGCAGGGGTTGCAGCCTCCTCCACATCCACAGCGGGGAAGGTGCTGGTGTCGAGGGGCTTGCAGAGGCCAAAGTCGGACAGCTTCATGTGCCCGTGGCGGTCTAGCGGGGGTTGTCCAGCTTGATGTCCCTGGGGGGGATAGGAGGCAGTGAGAGCGCAGGAACGGGAGTGGGGGGCACACGGGCGGGAGTGAGAGGGCTTGCAGAGGCCAAAGCTGGACAGCTTCATGTTCCCGTGGCGGTCCAGCAGGAGGTTGTCCAGCTTGATGTCCCTGGGGGGGGATAGGAGGCAGTGAGAGCGCAGGAACGGGAGTGGGGGGCACACGGGCGGGAGTGAGAGGGCTTGCAGAGGTCAAAGCTGGACAGCTTCATGTTCCCGTGGCGGTCCAGCAGGAGGTTGTCGGGCTTGATGTCCCTGGGGGGGTGATGGGGGGGAGGGAGGGCGGGGGAGGAGGGAGGGAGGAGGGAGGAGGGAGGAGGCGAAAGCACAAGGGTAGACAGCAACGGGATGAGAATGACGGTGAGAGAAAGGCAAGGGCGGTCATTTTTCAGACGTCTCAAAAAGTCCAAGAATACGGAAGGGAGACGGAAAAAAAGAGGGTGCTGCTGGTGTTGAGGGGCTTGCAGAGGCCAGCTTGATTGGAGTCAATTTTTACAGTTCTCAAAAGTGGCTGGCAGGTGCAACCTATTGCATACATGTATAATTGGCTATGTCTGCACACCACCATCCACCCACCTATGCACGCCGTTGTGCTTGTGGATGCTCTCTATTGCCAGCACCGTCTCCCAGACGAACCATTGATAAGTACACTAAGTACAGATAAGTCCCACCCACCTGTGCGTCTCTCTACCGCCCACCTGTGCGCCTCTTTCCTGCCCACCTGTGCACGTAGTTGTGCTTGTGGATGCTCTCGATCGCCAGCACCGTCTCGCCCACATAGAACCTCGCCTCGTCCTCCGTGAGCGTGTCCTTGCGCATGAGCAGCGTCATCATGTCCCCGCCAGGGAGGTACTCCATTACAAGGTACAGGAACTCGTCGTCCTGGAACGAGCAGTAGAGCTGCACGATGCACTTGCTCTCCACCTCGGCGAGCAGGTTACGTTCTGCTTTCACGTGCTCGACCTGTGGGCAACGGATTGCAGGGAGGGAGGGAAGGCAGGCAGGGCAGGGAGTGTTGGATGGATGTCAGTAGATGACAGGAACTCGTCGTCCTGGAAGGGTGTTTTTGAGAATTCTCAAAAACACCCTGCAAAATCAGGGAGTGTTGGATGGATGTCAGTAGATGACAGGAGGAACTCGTCGTCCTGGAAGGAGCAGTACAGCTGCACGGTGCACTTGCTCTCCACCGCGGCCAGCAGATTGCGCTCTGCCTTAACGTGCTCCACCTGCAGTTAAGGGATGACGAGCCGAGCAGGGACAGAGGTTGCTTGCTATTGAGGAAACAGCTGCACGATGCTCGTTCTCTCCGCCTCGGGCCACAGGTTACGTTCTGCCTGCCTTCACGTGCTCCACCTGCGGGAGGGATAGAGGGTTGCATCAAAACAGGAACTCGTCATCCTGAAAGGAGCAGTACAGCTGCACGATACACACACACACACACATACCCCACCTCTCCCCCTCCCCCCCCCCACCCAAAACACACAGACACAACCTTTCCCCCCCTCACAGCAACACACACACAAACCCACCTGGCCGCGCCGAAGCATCTCTGCCTTCTTGAGCTTCTTCATCGCATACACGCTGCCCGTCTTCTTCTTTCAAGAGAGCGAGACACGCACACACACTCACTCGCTCACGCACAGTCCCCCCCCATACACGCACCTGGCCGCGCCGAAGCATCTCTGCCTTCTTGAGCTTCTTCATCGCATACACGCTGCCCGTCTTCTTCTCCCGACAGATGCGCACCTGCCATGGTGCAAAGTACGGGGTAGAATGGGGGGAAGTGAATACGCAAAGGCCGTTAGTCAAGAGATTCTTGTATTGAGGCGGCTCAAATTGCAGCCTTATCGATCAGGCAGTCAGATCACTGAGGTGACTGAATGAGATATCTCAACGGATAACCGACTCCGCCCAAGAAACGGTGTCTGCCCGGAGGCAGAAAAAATAAACCCCTAGGGGCCCCGGCATGCGACTCGGGGTGGCATCAACCCTAAACTCGCGGATGCCTGTGCGAGTTTAGGGTTGATGCCACCCAGAGTCGCATGCCGGGGCCCCTAGGGGTTTATTGTTTCTTCTTGCCCGGGGCAGCGCGACGGGGTGCGACGGGCGTCGCAAGCCCATCGAAGGCTTGTCCGTTGAGAGATACTGAATGGGAAACGCAATCCGCGCCCCATTCAAAGAGAGCTGCAGGGAAGAGAGCTGAAACACGAGAAGCGTAGAGAGAGGTGAGCAAATAGAGGGAGCAAGGACAGCTTAGACTCTTTAGCATGTTAGACGCCGTCTCCCCTTAATCCATCACCTCCCCGTTCTCCCCCTTACCCGTACTTCCCATTCCTCCCCGTTCTCCCCCTTACCCGTACTTCCCATTCCTCCCCGTTCTCCCCCTTACCCGTACTTCCCATTCCTCCCCGTTCTCCCCCTTACCCGTACTTCCCATTCCTCCCCGTTCTCCCCTTACCCGTACATCCCATACCTCCTCGTTCATCCGTACCTCCCCAAAAGTCCCTCGGCCGATGTTGGTGAGCTTCTCAAAGTCGTCGACGCTCATGTCGTGTCCGCCTAACCCCTTCTCTTCCCTACATGCCATCCCCTTCCCATTTCCACTCAACCCCGTAACTCCCTGAACGCCCGCTTCTTTCAAGCTTACCTCGCCGAAGGCCCCTCGACCGATGATAGTGAGCAGTTCGAAGTCGTCGACGCTCATCTTGTGTCGCTGCAGTCGGCGGAACTCCGTCTCGCGCCTCTCCAGCTCCTGCATGATGCGCTGCTGCTCCTCCTCCGGCACGTCCTCCTCCTCCAACTTCCGCTCCAGCTCGTTCCGCCTAAAATGGGGCAAGAATATCATACGAAAAGTGCAGGAAGAGCGGGGGGATGAAGGGAGATGAGGGATGGCAGCTCTCCGTCTCGCGCCTCTCCAGCGCCTGCATGATGCGCTGGTGCTCCTCCTCGGGCACGTCCTCCTCCTCCAGCTTCCGCTCCAGCTCGTGCCGCCTGGATTCAGAAAAGTTGAGGTTGAATCAGACACGGAAAAAAGAAGCACCTGAGGGGGAAGGGAACGCATGACGTGCTGTTGCTCCTCTTCGAGCATGTCCTCATCCAGCTTGCGCTCCAGCTCATGCCGCCTGGGATGAGATCAGATCAGCCATAACAATGAGCCGGGGTTGAAGGGATTGTTTTGAGACGTCTCAAAACTAATCTTCTTTTGAGACGTCTCAAAAGAGATCAGATCAGCCAGGACAAAGAGCCGGGGTTGAAGGGAATGAAACCCAGGTAGGGTTTCGGGGAAGCGGAGCTGAACCGGGAACCCCGTCTCCCGCTGCTGGAGCTCCTCGAGGAAGAGTGACGCTCTGCTCACCCTCCGCAAGATGGTCCTTCTAATCCAGGATGTGTTTTAAAAAACAAAACACGTGAAGCTCGGCTCACTCTCCGCAAGATGGTCTTTTTCAGTCTCGCACCAGCTGATTCCGCCTGACGAGAGCTCGCGATGTGAATGAAGAGCTAGGTCCAGCTAGGAAAACGAGACTTAAAAAAAAGGACCGCAGTTAAGTCAGTAGCCCTGCACATTCCGCACTTACACCGTGAGCTCACTTCGTTCGCTTATAAGCTTCTTCTACAGATAAAAAAGGATGCCGTGTTTACAAGAACGTTCAAAGTGAGCTAACTAAGACGTGGGCTTGGCAGCAGGCGGTACGTGACCAACACCACTGACAGTCGCGAATGACATCAGCTATCCCTTTCCATGTGCCATTGTAGCGAGGTGACTATCGTGAGTCGACTCAAAAGTCTCATCGCTACAACGTCACATGGAACTGGCAGCTCGCGGTACGTGACCAACATCACTGACAGTCGCGAATGACATCACCTGATCCCTTCCGTGCTCCCACCTTCTCCGCGAATGACCGTCGCAAGCATCTGGAGACAGTGCGGGACGCCAAAGGTTTTCCCGTTCCTGCTCCTTCGCGAAGTGAATGGTTACCAGTCATGGAGTTGAGAATATTACCGTAGCGAGCTATGTGTTGTCGCACAGCTCAATGGTTTTCAGGTCGTCCAAACGTTCCGTGTGATAGAAGTGTAGTTTTGAGACGTGTCAAAAGTACACCTCTTTCGCGAAGATTACCCGTCATGGAGTGGAGTCGATCATCGTAGCGAGCTACGCGTCGTCGCACATCTCAATGCCCTTCAGGTTGTCCAAACATGTTCATTTCCTACTCTTGGGTTCTTCGGAACAAACGTTGAAGGGAGCTACGTGTCGACGTCGTGGAGCCAGTGAAGCATTATAACGGGGAATCGAAGAGCTACGCGAAGGTAATGACACTGTTGAATGACACTCCTCGCCGCCGGTTTTCGCGTTAGAAAGGTCACCAATGTGTCACTCTTCATTCAGATCTTTCCTCGCCGTAGATCCTCGCATCCTGAAAATGCCGAAAGTGTCGGTTTCGCGATTTATAATCGCATCGCGGAAACGAAACGAAGGAACCTCAACCGTACCTATCCTTGCGTTCTTGAATCGTCTTCATCTGGTTGCGGTAGTGCTGCTCAATGTAGTTCTTCGCAGCAGCCACCTTCTGCTTAGTAATGTCCGAAGCGGGATCCATTTCCTGCTCCGGAGGATCCACTCCTTCCTCGTCCTCCCGGATCCTTCCCGGTCCGGGAGGCTTCGGCGCTCGCATGTTGAACCATCGACGGTTGTCCGCCATGGCTGCGGTCACGGCTATGGTCACCTTTAGCAGATACTTTCTAGCACCGATACAATTTGTGCGAAAACAGATAGGATTGGTGACCAGTAGTCAAAGACGAGCAGCAAAGCTAGAAACTTTATCGGACAACCTCGCCGACACGAGGAGGGGCGGAAACTGATATCTATGGAGTGGAGTTAGGTGGCGGAATTCGCGGAATTACTGCCTTGGGATCTCGGCTCCCAGAAATCGGAGTTCCCGAGGGTTGGTATCTTTTGTTCCTCGTGCGTTGTAGAGGGGAGGGGGAGAATGGCGCGCGGAGCACTGCTCATGAAGGGGGGAGGGATTTTGGCGCGCCGAGCTCCGACCTCGGACCTTCTGCCCAGACGGTGAAGGGACGATGGATGGATGAGGCCAGACGGAATGGAACGGAATGGAGGGACGGGCAACATTTGCTTCGACGCAAGCTTCAGCCATTGGCTAGAGAATATTCTGCCTTTCCGAACCGTGTGCTGAATCTGACGTTCCGTCAGGATATGGATTGACCGACAAAACAGTCCACCAAGGCCTGCTGGGTTCAGTTGCATGCTGCGGAGCGGTCAGATGCGCGTGAAATTGCGCGGGCCAATAAGGAGGCACGAGGGCGGGTTCAGTGATACTGTTCACACTCCAGTACAGCTGGGCTGGCTGACAAACTTTGCCTTTTGTGAAATGTCAGAAGTTGTGCTACTGTAGTGTATTTCGCGGGCAAACAAGTTACAGATTGCTACACCCAATTAATAGGAAAAAATTCTCATCATGTGTAAGCACTAGGAAACTTGCAATATATCAACTAGATGGAATGCCACTACCAAGAAAGTAATCATACAAAAACAATGCCACACACTTCAATAATGCGGTGGTTGAGGTGGAGGTGGAGGTGGTGGGGGTGGGGGTGGGGATGGGGGCGGGGGTGGGGGCGAAGGGGGGGGTGGTGGTGGTGGTGGTGGTGGTGGTGGTGAGGATGGCCTAAAAGGAACAGGCGAGGGAGGTGGAGGCGGAGGAGGTCTACGAGGGACCGGAGAATCTGGTGGGCACTTTGGCTTAGGTGGCGCGGGGCGGCATAGGAGAGGTGGAGCAGGAGCTGGTTCTGAGCTAGGAGCAGGGACTGGAGCAGGGCTAGGAGCAGGCACAGGTGCAGGTCCGGGAGCAGGTACAGGTGCCGGACTAGGTGCAGGTATGGGGGCAGGGCTAGGAGCTGGCACAGGTGCAGGAGTGGGGGCAGATACGGGTGCAGGTCCCGGAGCAGGCACGGGTGCAGGTCCAGGAGCAGGTATGGGGGCAGGACTAGGAGCAGGTACAGGAGCAGGGCTGGGCGTTGGCACTGGTGCAGGGCTGGGAGCAGGCACAGATGCAGGACTAGGTCCAGGCACTGGTGCAGGTCCAGGAGCAGGTACGGGCGCAGGGGTGGGAGCAGGTACGGGCGCAGGGGTGGGAGCTGGAACTGGGGCAGGGCTGGGAACTGAAACAGGAGCCTGACTCACATTTCCTGCACACGAACCACTCGGCCCCTTTGGGCCGGTTTTAAAGGCGATGCAGCGATGTGCATCAGGATACGCCTGCTGGTTACCATCCCCTGGATTAAGATTCAGAACCGTTCCATTCTCTGGAATAGCAGCAGAGGTGAGTGTGAGGAGCACACAGATGTTTTCAAATGCAGTGCGAGAGAAAGGGGCGGGGATGCCACGCATTCGCAGGGTGGGGGGGTTTCCGGTGATGTAGAACTGGTTGGAGGAGTAGGACTGGACGAAACTTGGGGAGATGCAAAAGAATGTGTTGTCCCCGCTATTGGCTGATTCGAGAGCGTTGTTGTACTTGTCAATTATGGGAGTTGCTGTGACCTGGCCATCGGCAACACTAGGAACCCTGCAGCCCAGGTAGGAGAGGTTTATATCAGCAGAAATTGATAAAAAACATAGAAAATTTTGTGCTAATGAAAAGGGAATTCTTACTGGAATATCGGAACAGAGTTATCGCGCCCTTCGAAACGGAAGTCACAATGGGCAAGAGGAGCAGCAGGGCATGCTGAAACGGGACTCTGCTGCAGTCTCCTCGATAAACGCATGGATTCTTTAGCATGAGAATATTCTTTAATATGCAGAGAATTATCCCTCCTCAAAGCGCTGGAGTGTGTAGGCCATTGAAGCGTTGTCACCAGCCAAAACAAGAAAAGCGGAAACAGAAAATTCATCGTTCCTCTGCTAACAAAAGTCGGCCGCAGCAGCGGCATGTGGTGAAAAAAAAAAACGGTAAGGGACCCTAAAGCGGAACAACTGAGCGATGTGTGAGCTATCTCTTCTACCATACGACCTAGTAATGTGCTGCTGGAACAGCCGCCATGAAAGTTCAAGAGAGAGAGACTCATGAAATTCCTTCTGCCAACGTGTTGAAATTGGAAATTCTTCAACGAGCCGAGTCGGCTTCGCATCGAGCCGCGATGAGATTTCTCTCCCAGCTTGGCCAGTTTAGTTTGAGCCCTCGCTGCCATTTCGCCAGCTCAGCCATGCTGAGGTGATCCCCACTTAGGTCTCTCGAGCCTGCCACGCCACCTGGCTCTCGTGGGATGGAAGACACGAAGTCAATGCCACCTGAGATATTCCTATTGGGCGCATGGTTATGGCAACAGCTTTCGCGAGCGGTATGATTTCGTGGGGGGGCGTGGTAACTTTTCAAGCATTATCGAAATTGACGACTTTGAACGAGACTATCATACCAGTTACCTGCTTTTAGGCTGTTGTTGTTTATGTAATTTGATACCCTAGTAATCTAGTAAATTCCACTTCATGCGTCCACGGCTCCTAGGAGGCTCCCCGTCCTACGACCGAGGACCTTTCCGTGTGCGTAGCGTACTACGTTTCGTTTTAGCACACAGTCTCCTGTCCCGTTATTGTCTGGTCTTATTATAGTTGTTCCGTAGTTGCCAACCGCGCTGGCCGCTCTCAGAGAGTTCCTTCCATCATACTCGCTACACATCAGCAGGTGATTTTTGAGTCGACTCAAAAATCATACTCGCTACACATCAGCTCGCACGTAATATTAGCAAGACGCCTCTACTTAGATTTGCAAGTGAGTCGTTTCCCTGATTACGATTTCCGTGAGCGCCGTCCAAATCAACGGTCAGGATTGCCTGTTCATGGGCAGTGAAGGCGATCTGCCGTCCGCCAGCAATCCCACTTCTAGTCACGCTCCTAACCCTAACGAATCCGAAGTTACAGCCACCACCGCCATAACTGCACCCACCACCTTTACCCCCGCTCGTCTCGCTGGTTACCCTACAGGCACTAGTCGTAACTTGGTAACCAGCGCTACGTTTGCTGGCAGCGCCGCCGAGCCGTTTCCTAAGCGCGCCAAGCTCTCCTGCCCCTATCACGACTCGGCCGCTGCGACCGTGGTCCGCGGTTCTGCCCCTATCGGTTCGTGCTCGTTCTGCGCATCTGCCGCCGCATCTCCCGGAAAATCTTCCGAAGATCACACCACCGGAGCTGCTGCTTCCGCTGCTGCCAGCTGTCACGCCACGATTGGTCGGTTCGCGACCCTTTCGATGGGGAGGGGGGCAGGGGACGGTGCTACGGGTGCTGCAGGGGGGGAGCAGGCAGGGAGGAGCTACCAGCCGTCCGATCAAGATCGGCGCGGATCTAAGGGTCAGATTCGTACGGTGGAATACGTACGCCTTATAGAGCAAGCTCTGCGTTCGCTGGGATATGACTCGATAGCGGCGCAGCTGGAAGCGGAATCAGGCGTAGCTTTGGAATCCAAGCCGGTGGCGCAGCTTCGGCAAGCGATCATGGCCGGCCAATGGGAGGAGAGTGTCGCGATCCTGTCGAACCTACCAGGTTTAGACCTGTCTTTGCTTCGGCACGCGGAATTCCTCCTCCTGGAGCAGAAATTCCTTGAGCTTGTCGAAGCTGGCGAGGTTCGGGAAGCCCTGACGACCCTCCGAGGCAGGCTCGGGCCCACAGCTTCGGATCCGAAGCGCCTGCACCAGCTGGCGGGCTGGCTGCTTTGTGCCGGACCTGAGGACCTGAAGGCTCGGTCGGGGTGGTCCGGGGCAGGTTCAGAATCCAGAGGTTCGGTACTAAAGGTTGTACAGGCGCTGCTGCCGGCGTCAGTGATGGTTCCTGAGCGGAGACTGGAGCAGCTTTTAGAGAGTACGGTGGAGATGGGTCGAGAACGGTGCCACTACCACAACGTGTGTGACGAGGCTCTGTCACTGTTCACGGACCATTCGTGTGGGCGGGAGATGGTCCCCACTGTTACCACTCAGGTAAATAGGGTTACCGCAGTTACCACTCAAGTAGAGATGTAATTTCTCGGTTCAAACGTCCTGCTCGTGTTCCTTTTTTTAGAATATCCCACCACCTCGTGTTCCTGTTTTTTTTTTTTTTTTTTTTTTTTTTTTTTTTTTTTTTTTTCTGTATCTCTCCTTTTCCCTCTCATTCACTCACACTCAGTATCAGGTGCTGGAGCAGCACGAGGACGAGGTGTGGTGCATGCAGTTCTCTCACGACAGCTTCAAACTGGGCACTGCCGGACAGCCCCACCTGTGTCCTCCTCACGCACCCCTTCCTCTCCTCCCTCTCCCGCAGGTGCTGGAGCAGCACGCGGACGAGGTGTGGTGCGGTGCGTGCAGTTCTCTTATTACGGCACCAGACCAGACGGGTTCTGCTCGACAGCCCCACCTCTGCCCCCTCACGCACCCCCTTCCTCCCCTCTCTCACCCTCGCAGGTGCTGGAGCAGCACGAGGACGAGGTGTGGTGCGTGCAGTTCTCTCACGACGGCACCCGACTGGCCACTGCCTCCAAGGACCACACTGCCATTGTTTGGCAGGTAAGGGCTACTCTTTCCCTCGGTGCTCCCAAGGAGATTTTTGAGTCGACTCAAAAGTCACCGACTGGCCTCTGCCTCCAAGGACTATCCTGCCATTGTTTGGCAGGTTAGGGCTACTCTTTCCCTCAGTGCTCCCAAGGACGAGGACACCACGGGTTATGCAGCATGCTGTTGTCTCTCTTTCCCACGTGGCACGTGCTGCTATGGCGGGTTCCTTACTACCGCTTTCGCCCTTGTCGAATCAAGCGACACACCGGCACGCGGGCACCGTACAGCACCATTCGGCACCGTGCGGCACCACAGTGCACCATCTGTCACCATGCGGCACCACAGCAGATGCGGTTCATACCTTCCGATCGACCCCGCCCTCCCCCCCCCCCTCCCCTCCCCCTGTTCTCAGATTGTTGACAGCTTTTCCCATCGTCGCCGGCACACGCTATGAGGCCACTCCCTGCCTCTCTCTCTCTCCTACGTGGCATGCAGCCCAGACGAACTGCAGCTCTTTTGAGTCAAAAGCAGACTCTTGACACCGGGCATATTGTTGGTTCCGAGGCACTCAAAGTCAAGCCCGATCCCCCCCCATCCCCCCCCCATCCTCCCCCCCTCCCCCCCCCCCTCCCCCCCCCACCCCCCACCCCCCCTCTTTCCTCCTCCCTTCCTCGTTCTCAGATTCTTGACAGCTTCTCTCATTGTCGCCTGCACATGCTGTCTGGCCACTCGCTGCCTCTCTCCTACGCGTGGTAGAGCCCAAACGACCCACTGCTACTGATGACACTGGGCGTATTGTTAGGGCGGAGGCAACTCAAGCCTGTTGTTCACCCTTCCCCCACCCCCCCGCCTGTGCTCTCAGATTCTTGACAGCTTCTCTCCCATCGCCGCCTGCACACGCTCTCATGCCATTCCGCGCCTCTTGACTTTTGAGTCGACTCTAAAGTCGCCTGCACACGCTTTCAGGCCATTCCGCGCCTCTTGACTTTTGAGTCGACTCTAAAGTCGCCTGCACACGCTTTCAGGCCATTCCGCGCCTCTTGACTTTTGAGTCGACTCTAAAGTCGCCTGCACACGCTTTCAGGCCATTCCGCGCCTCTTGACTTTTGAGTCGACTCTAAAGTCGCCTGCACACGCTTTCAGGCCATTCCGCGCCTCTTGACTTTTGAGTCGACTCTAAAGTCGCCTGCACACGCTTTCAGGCCATTCCGCGCCTCTTGACTTTTGAGTCGACTCTAAAGTCGCCTGCACACGCTTTCAGGCCATTCCGCGCCTCTTGACTTTTGAGTCGACTCTAAAGTCGCCTGCACACGCTTTCAGGCCATTCCGCGCCTCTTGACTTTTGAGTCGACTCTAAAGTCGCCTGCACACGCTTTCAGGCCATTCCGCGCCTCTTGACTTTTGAGTCGACTCTAAAGTCGCCTGCACACGCTTTCAGGCCATTCCGCGCCTCTTGACTTTTGAGTCGACTCTAAAGTCGCCTGCACACGCTTTCAGGCCATTCCGCGCCTCTTGACTTTTGAGTCGACTCTAAAGTCGCCTGCACACGCTTTCAGGCCATTCCGCGCCTCTTGACTTTTGAGTCGACTCTAAAGTCGCCTGCACACGCTTTCAGGCCATTCCGCGCCTCTTGACTTTTGAGTCGACTCTAAAGTCGCCTGCACACGCTTTCAGGCCATTCCGCGCCTCTTGACTTTTGAGTCGACTCTAAAGTCGCCTGCACACGCTTTCAGGCCATTCCGCGCCTCTCTCCTACGTGGCGTGGATTGTTAATTTCGTTTTGAGACGTCTCAAAAGGAAATTATCAACCCACCCTCTCTTCTACGAGCCCTGGAGCCCAGATGACTCTTTGCTGTTGACACCAGGCGTATTGTTAGGGCCAGGAGGGACTCAAGTCAAACCCGATTCTCCTTGTCCCGGCCGGCCCTGCTCCTGTTCTCAGATTCTTGACAGCTTCTCCCATCGCCGCCTGCACACGCTATCGGGCCACTCCCTGCCTCTCTCCTACGTGGCGTGGAGCCCCGACGACTCTCTCCTGCTCACAGCAGGCAACGACCCCTATGTGTGCTTGTGGGATGCCGCGACAGGGCAGCTGCTCCGCACCTTCAACAAGCACCAAGACGTGAGTTCAAGCCTTTAGATGCTTCGTATCACGCCACGCCACACACTACCCCTAATTCCAAGGCTTGGAGCCCCGACCACTCTCTGCTCCGACGGCAGGCGACGACTCCCATGTGCGCTAGTGGGACGCGGCCACAGGGCAGCTGCTCCGCACTTCTAACAAGCACCAGGACGGGAGTCTTTTGAGTCAACTCAAAATACCCATGTGCGCTTGTGGGATGCGGCCACAGGGCAGCTGCTCCGCACTTCCAACAAGCACCAGGACGGGATTCCTTTTAGGTTTAACGAGTCCATCAAGCGTCAAGCCTCTCATTGCCTCTCTGCTGCTCACAGCAGGCAACGACCCCTATGTGTGCCTGTGGGACACTGCAACAGGGCAGCTGCTACGGACATTCATCAAGCACCAAGACGTGAGTTTTCACTGTCAGGGCACAACCCCCAGTCCCTTCTGGCATACGCCCCGTTCTCTTCCCTGTTCATTCTATTGTCACCTCCCACTCAAGCTCCTTCCTTTCTCCCCATTATCCACCCTCCCTTGGGACTCCTCCTTCTCTCCTCTCTCCTCCTCTCTCCTTCTCTCGCTCCCATCCTCCTTCCCCCCTCCCCTCCACCTCCTCTCCTCCGTCCCCTTCGTCTCCCCCCCCCCCGCTTCTTTGGCCCTTCGCCCTCCCATCCCTATCCCAGGCTATCTCGGCCTGTGCGTGGTTTCCCTGCGGGCGGCGTTTTTTGTCAGCATCTGCGGTGAACGATCGGACAGTGTGCGTGTGGGGCGTGGAGGGGGGCGAGCTGGCGTCTTGGAGTGGGGTGGGGCGGCACCTGTGGGAGCAGGAGGGGGCTGACTTCCCCCGTATCAACGACCTCGCTATTAGTAGTGACTGCTCGCACGTGGTACATGTGTGTGGGCATGTGTGTGTGTGGGGGAATGTGTGTGTGTGGGGGAATGTGTGTGTGTGGGCATGTGTGTGGGGGCATGTGTGTGTGTGGGCATGTGTGTGTGGGCATGTGTGTGTGTGGGCATGTGTGTGTGGGCATGTGTGTGTGTGGGCATGTGTGTGTGGGGGCATGTGTGTGTGGGGGCATGTGTGTGTGGGGGCATGTGTGTGTGGGGGCATGTGTGTGTGGGGGCATGTGTGTGTGTGGGCAAGTAGAGAGAGTGGAGCTGGCCGCACATGTGAGCTGGCCTAGTGGAGTCCTTGATTTTGCAGGGTGTTTTTGAGAATTCTCGAAAACTCGCCTCCTGCAAAATCTTGGCCTAGTGGAGTGGAGTGAGGCGGCACCTGTGGGAGCAGGAGGGGGCTGACTTCCCCCGAATCAATGACCTCGCTATTAGTAGTGACTGCTCTCATGTGGTACGTACTTGGGTGTGTGTGGGGAGAGAGGGGGAAAGTGTGTGGGAGAGAGAGGAGTGTGTGTGGAAGACAGAGGAAAAGTGTCTGTGGGGGAAGAGGAAGTGTAGATTAAGTGTGTGTGGGATTCAGTAAGTGTGTGTGTGGGGGTCGTGGAGGGGAGCGAGTTGGCCTAGTGGAGCATAGTGGGGCGGCATCTGTGGCAGCAGGAGGGGGGTGACGTCCGCGAATCAACGACCTCGCTCGCTGTCAGCAGCGACTGCTCGCCCGTGCGAGTCATCTTCCAGTCTCCCCCTCCCTACCTCTCTCACTTCTTGTCTCCCTGCATCACTCCTTCACTCTCCTCCCCCAGGTGTCCGTGTGCAATGAGAAGGAGATCCGAGTGCACGAGCTACCCTCTCTAATACTTCTTAGTCCGCCCCATCTCTCTGCTCTCTCCCGCCCTCTTCTCCCCCCCTCTCCTCCCCCAGGTGTCCGTGTGCAATGAGAAGGAGATCCGAGTGCACGAGCTACCCTCTCTAATACTTCTTAGTCTGCCCCATCTCTCTGCTCTCTCCCGCCCTCTTCTCCCCCCCTCTCCTCCCCCAGGTGTCCGTGTGCAACAAGAAGGAGATCCGAGTGCACGAGCTACCTTCAGGAGCGCCCCACGTGGTGAAGGAAACAAAGTCCATCCCCTCAGCCCTTCGCCGCTCCTGTCCTGTGTGCGGCTCCCTCTGCTACCCCTCTCTCCCCCAGGTGTCCGTGTGCAACGAGAAGGAGATCCGAGTGCACGAGTTACCTGCAGGAGCGCCGCACGTGGTCAAAGAGACCAAGTCCATCACCTCACTCAGCATGTCTGTGGACGGCAGGTGAGGGATACTATTTGAGGGATACTCTTTGAGGGATACTATTTGAGGGATATTATTTGAGGGATATTCTTTGAGGATACTCTTTGACACATGTGTGTGGTTGAAGGGGTGAATGGAAGGTGGCTCGTCATCCTAGCGCACGTGGTGAAGGAGGCCAAGTCTATTATGTCCCTCTGCATATCGGTGGACGGCAAGGTGAGTGAGGTAGCCCTCGTGGTTGAGGAGACCAAGTCCATCACGTCCCTCCGCAAAGGTGAGGGTTTCTCTGTGATACACGTGTGCGCGAGGGATTGAGGGTGTGTCCCTATGTGACACGACGTCAGGCTGCATCGTGTCATTCGGGATTCGACTACAGTTTTTTTTGCTATTACTACAGTTTTTTTTCTCTTACTACATTTTTTTTTATTTGACTGCTCTCTTTTGCTTCGACTACAGTTTTCTGGCTCTGGCTACAGTTTTTTGGTTCTGGCTACAGTTTTTTGGCTCTGACTACAGTTCTTTTGGCTCTTATTACAGTTTTATGGTTCTTACTACAGTTTTTTTGCTCTTACTACAGTTTTGTGGCTCCTATTTGTTTTTGCTCTGACTTTTTTTTTTGCTTTTATTACATTTTTTGTGCTCTGTCCCTCTGTCCCGCTGTTTTTCTGTCCCTCTGTCCCTCTGTCCCTATATCTCTCTGTCCCTCTGTCCCTATGTCCCTCTGCCCCTCTTTCCCTCAGTCCCTCTGTCCCTCTGTCCGTTTGTCCCCCTGTCCCTCTGTCTTTCTTTCTTTCTGTCCCTCTGTCCCTCTGTCCCTCTGTTCCTCTGTCGTTCTGTCCTCTGTCCCTCTGTCTTTCTGTCCCTTCGTCCCTCCCCTTCTCACTAGAAGCAACCACATGGCTGCTGTCAACCTTTCATCTGGCAACATTCACCTCTGGCCCATTTAGGGCATCTGTCCCACCACGCGTGTTTTGAGGCGCTTTTTCCTGTGATGGAAGTCTCCGTATCCACACTCCCCTTTATGTTGTAGGCGATTTTTGAGACTTGTAAAAAATCGCCTAGAAGTCTCCGTGTACACACTCCCTTTTCACCAACCAGACGGGTGTTGGTAAACTTGTCATCAGGAGGTCTTCATCTCCGTGGAGACAATCAAGCCTCCTGCCTGACAACAGTGCCTAAAAAATTATATGCCCCCCTCCCTCCCTCTCCCTCCCTCTCCCTCCCCTCCCTCCTCCCCCCCCCCCCGGTATTTCTCAAACAACCAGGTGGGTGTTGGTGAACCTGTCATCAGGCGACATCCACTTTTTGAGGCGCCTCAAAAATAGACTCCTCCCTCCTCCCCCCCCCCCTGTGTTTCTCAAACAACCAGGTGGGTGTTGGTGAACCTGTCATCAGGCGACATCCACTTTTTGAGGCGCCTCAAAAATAGACTCCTCCCTCCTCCCCCCCCCCCCCCCCCCCCCCCCCCGTGTTTCTCAAACAACCAGGTGGGTGTTGGTGAACCTGTCATCAGGCGACATCCACCTCTGGTCCATTCGGGACATCTGTGCTGCCAAGCCTCCCGACAAGCCAGCCTTTTCCTACAGCGGGCAGGTGAAAACTTTGGGTCAAACGCTTGTTAGGGAATAGCTACCTATTTATATGCTGTTACCGGTCAGGCCGCTTTGTTGTGATAGTTTTTTCCGTTTATGTTTCAAGGGTACTACCCTAAATCCTGTATTGGTTTGTTTGGTTGTTTCTTTCAGGTGCAAGGCCGCTTTGTGATTCGCTCCTGCTTTGGCGGCCATGACCAGCGCTTTATCATCAGCGGCAGTGAAGATGCTCAGGTAAGTGATGACACTTAAAGCCCGTGGCTAAAATAGCAGACCTGGAAACCACTTGAATTTGGTGCTTTGAAATCCGTCTAAGTATAGAATGGAAGGCAGCTTTGAGTTCAAGCATGAACAAGAAAAGTGCGTCGAAACAAATTCTGGTCGAGCTTGCTGATTGGAGGAATTGCGAAAGAACTCGTTTTGCTGTTTGTTGCGACACGATCATTTGGATGCGAATTTCGTAAAAACACTGTGTGCATCGCACGGAGTTTCTACGACGGGTTTGGGCAAGCAGCTTGCGACGAGGAAATACAAGCGCTTTTTGACTGGGGAATTCAAGTGATTTCCAGGTCTGCAATTCCAGAATCAGCTACTGTTCGCCAAAAAAACACTGTTCTTCTCGCATTTTCACTGTTCACGGAACCACGAATTCGGTCACACGACGCGTATTGCACTGTTCACCGAATGGTTTCGTGCAAAAACTGTCACCAAACCGCCACGGTCAGATTCCGCTTTGCAAAACGAAATGTTTTTATTCTGTTTCGTTTACTCTAAAGATCAAGTCATGTGCCAAGTTCAAGAGCAAATTAAACAGCCCTCTTGATTGCTATTATAGCCACGGGCTTTAAGTGAACAATAATTAGCTGAGCTGGGTTTATGCCCTCACTTTATCACCAATTTCTTTGTGTCTTTCTTATCCTGAGTTTCAAAAACGCCATATTCTAAGGCTCATACTGTCTACACTGTACATTGGTTACATGTAGGTGTACATGTGGCATCGCGACACTGGGGAGGTTATGGAGGTCCTTCCAGGGCATTCTGGGACTGTGAACGCCGTCTCATGGCCGGCCACTCGGCCGCACATGTTTGCTACAGCCTCCGATGACCGGACTGTCCGCATTTGGGGCCTGTCGTCTGTAGCTGCTGGAGGCCATGGGGTTAGTGGGGGGATGGCACGTGGTGCTGTTATCGAGGAGCCACGGGGATGATGGAGGGGGGGCTGCTATGGTAGGAACGGAGTTGAGGGGGTGAAGTGAGGAGTCTGATTGGCTGCTGGCGTGCCTCATGGAATCTCCTTGTCAAATGAACATTTGTATTCGTAGTTTTGTTGGTGATGCAAGGTTGTTGGGTGGGTGCTTTGTTGTACCACTTGTACATATAGGATAATGAAACAGATTGATACTTTATCATATTTTCTCCGTTAGAAGCTTGATGGTCTTGATCTGGATGGACAGAGTGCGCTTCGGTCTGCTCGGTGCAGGTGCCTGGTGGACGGACGGCCAGTCCGAAACCGGCGAAAGCACATCACCGTGGCCAGACCAGACCGGCCGAACCGAACGGCTGTTCGGGCAGGACGAGAAAGAAGCAAAGTGGTTTGCCACCATCGCGCCAACGCATTGGGCAGGTGAAGTTTATAAAAACTCAATTGTAATTGGCGGAAGGGAAAACAGCGGTTGGGCTGCTGGAGGGAGAAGGTTTTGCGTTGGGAACCAACGTCAAATAACTCAACCAGTCTTGGAAACCAATATCGGTTGACATTGGCTGTGTTCTACAGGCATTTGACGTTGACGTCGACGTCTACATTGAGGAAGCTCCTCAAGCGACTTCAAGAGCACTGGTTACCACCCAAACCAGGTGCACTTTCCCAACCTCGCTCGGAAGCCACGTGACCAAATTGTGGAAAGCGCAAGCGAAAGGAGAGAGGAGATAATTTCAAAATTGCGCAAAAAAAAAACTTCTGCCCGGGCAGGAGAGAAATTATCCGGGGCAAAATGACGAAAAAAGGTTAAGCTGAGATATAACTCGTTGGCGATGAGTTCGTTCAGCTGCTGTTTTTTTGCAGGGCAGTCCCAAGCTCGCGAGGGGGGGTAAAGTGGTGGCGGTTGTATTTTTGGGGTGTGGAGGCCTAGTACACCCTTGCGGTTGATGTAACGCCACACGCAAGGCGCGATTAAGCGAACGTCAGCATTGCGTCAGGTTTGCGTCAAATTTGCCAGGGAGGGAAGCGACGAGGGTGTTTCCCTGACGTATATGTCATCCGCATATAGACCTGTTCTGTAGGCATGTCGACGTAACTAGGTTCGGGTACGTTGTGCCAGGTTTGGACGAAATTTTGCGGGCTGACCCTCGATCCGAAGCAAAAAATCTCGCTTTCGGAAGGTGCTCTGATGTAATCTGCACTTTCCTTTTTTGCCTGCAGAACGCAGCCATTGTGTTAGCAGCACCAGATCCCTAGGTTAGACAGGACTTCTACAAAGCGGTGTACTGTACTAGAAGCTGGTCCAAGAGGTAATGTGTCGTACTGCGACTAAGCTTCTCCGCTACAGACGGTTGTCCCCACACACTGCCGGTCGTTTTGGTCAAGGATGTTAAGTGCGTTAACTATTCGTTGCTGCTTGCGATAGATTATTCATATTCATATCCCGCTCTGACCTGGATAACCGCATTGCTCCTGTTTGGAGGCCCTTGATTCAGTCCGGCTCGAGCTAGAAATTGCGTTTCGGCCCGAACTGACACAGCACGCTTGAAAGCACGACTAGATAATGGACCTTTCAAACCTTCGCATCACTTGAAGCTTCTCCACCCAACTGCAGGCTCGCGGGTTTTGGGACGTCTCTAAACTAGACTTTGACTCAGCGCGCTAGTAGGAAGCAGGATTCGATTACGGACCTTTCAAACCGTCGCATCACTTGAAGCTTCTCCACCCAACTGCAGGCTCGCGGGTTTTGACTTTGACTCAGGATTCGAATATGGACCTTTCAAACCGTCGCATCACGCGAAGCATCTCCACCGAGCTGCAGGCTCGCGCCATGGCCGTAGCGAACTCTGGAGGCGTCAATAATGGTGAGAGATTCTGAGCAACGTGCACCAGTATCCCCTAGTGCTATTTTTTCTGTTTCGTTCATCTTTTAAAAACTTTTTTCCGTTCCTTTATTTCTTCCTTTTAGCGTGTGCTTCTATAATGACATGTTGAGCTGACCTGCTAATGAAACAGACTAACGAATAGCCAATGTGAGGATCAATGACACCCACTTAAAAACCCGCCGTTGCCTTCTGACCTATGTGCTCTCTGCTCCCCCCTTCCAAGAAAGTTACACCGGTTCTTCTTCCTCTTTTCCTACCTTGGCCTTCGCGTTTCATGCAGCATCTAGGGGCCTTTCCACCTCAATGTTCCTTGAAATACTCTCCTTAGTTCGTTCCTTAGAAGCTCATGGCTTCTTCCCCGTCTTCCCCTTCCCCCGCTTCCCCTTCCCCGTCTTCCCCTTCCCCCGCTTCCCCTTCCCCGTCTTCCCCTTCCCCCGCTTCCCCTTCCCCGTCTTCCCCTTCCCCCGCTTCCCCTTCCCCGTCTTCCCCTTCCCCCGCTTCCCCTTCCCTGTCTTCCCCTTCCCCCGCTTCCCCTTCCCTGTCTTCCCCTTCCCCCGCTTCCCCTCTTCCCCTTCCCCCACTTCCCCTTCCCTGTCTTCCCCTTCCCCGGATTCCCCTTCCTCCGCCGGCAATTCCCATCCCATGCAGCATCGGGGGACCCTCCCGCCTCAATGTCCCCTGAAGACCTCTTTCTTCGATCGTTCCTAGACACCACCGCCTCCGCTGCTGCCGCTGCTGCTGCTCCTGGGGGAAGTAGCAGCGCAAACGCGCCCTCCTCGTTAGGCTTTGGCGCGGGCGGGCAGGGGGGAGCGGGGGCGGGGGAGCAAGCTTGTGTTCCCAATGGCGCGGGCATGGTCTCCCCGTTGCCCTTTCCGCCCATAAACGTAGGCGCAGCAGCGGGGAGAGGACCTAATAGCTGGAACGCCCGTGGAAATGGCGGTGGATTGGGCACGGGGGGAGGGTTGGGCGCTGGCACAGGCATGGGGGGAGCAGGCATGGGGGGAGCAGGAATGGGGGAGCAGGCATGGGGGGAGCAGGAATGGGGGGAACAGGCGTGGGGGGAGCAGGAATGGGGGGAGCAGGAATGACGGCTGCAGGGGTGTACCCTTCACCGAAGCTAAGCCGGCTCAACAGCGAGGAGCTCTTCCAGAGCTGGCTATCCGCTGATGTAAGTTGCTGCAAGTTTCCTGTGCTCTTGAGTTGAGGTTGTCAGATCGTGCTTGAGTCTGGCTTGAAAATCAGCTTCAGCTCAACAGTGAGGAGCTCTTCCAGAGCCGGCTGTCGGCTGGTGTAAGTTGCTGCAAGTTTCGTGGTGCTCTTGACTTGAGGTTGTCAGTCAGGTCATGCCTGAGTCTTGAAAATCAGCTCCAGCTCAACAGCGAGGAGCTCTTCTAGAGCTGGCTGTCAGCTGATGAAAGGCGCTGGCTGCTTGCTTGCTCCGCTCTAATCGGAGTGCAATCCCTATGATATATTCTCAGCCAGCAGGCAGATTCTCTGTCCTATCACTTTCCTGCTAAATAACCACCCACCAACAGAGCGTTCTAAGGACCCTCGAGAGCACTGAACCTCCCTCTGAAATGTGCCTCGTGTTTTCTACATGTGGTTTTTTCTCTTCCTGCCCGAATTACAGATAGCCAACTCCCCAGCACAAGCAATGCCGCCTCGACCGTTTCCGCCAGCCAACCTTCTCCGCCCCACCATACGGCAGCAATTGCAGCAGAGGCTGGTGCAAGAACAGCAGCAGCAGGGGCAGGGGCAGCAGCAGGGGCAGGGTCAGCAGCAGGGGCAGGGTCAGCAGCAGGGGCAGCAGCAGCAGCTTGGGCAGGAGCAGGGGCAGGGGCAGGGGCAGCCAGGGCAGCAATACCAAGGGCAACGGCAAGGGAGCTATGGTCTAGTCAACGGCAGTGAGCCATCTCTCTTTGCCATGTCATCAATGGGTGGGTCTGATGTGGCCTGGGGCGTAGGATCTGGGTCTCAGCAGCAGCAGCAGCAGCAGCAACCTCAGCAGCAGCAGCAGCAACAACAGCAGCAGCAGCAACCTCAGCAGCAGCAGCAGCAGCAGCAGCAGCAGCAGCAGCAGCAACCTCAGCAGCAGCAGCAGCAGCAGCAGCAGCAATGGCTGCAGATTCAGCAGCAGCAGCAGCAATTGCAGCAGGCCGTTAAGCGTGATCAGCAGCAGCAAATTCAGCAGGAGAAGCTACAGTTGACACCTCCCCAGCAGCCGATAACACCTCCACAGCAGCACATGATGCCTCCGCAACAGCAGAAGACACCTCCCCATCAGCGCAGGTGCGATAACTAGAGCATTTTCCACTGGCCATATGGGCGAGTCCTTTGCTGGCTATCGCTCCGTCTCCCCCGCTTCAACCCGTCCCTGTCTGTCATACCCCCTTGCAATCCCCCTTTCAGTCGAGGTGTATCGTGAGTCGACTCAAAATACTCCTGCCTCCTCCCACGCATCCCCCCTTTGAGTTGACTCAAAAGCAGACTCTGTCGCTCCTTCTCCAACCCGTCCCTCTCTGTCCTGCTTGACTTTGCAGGCTGCTCTTGAGAATTCTCAAAAGCACCCTACCTCCTGCCATCTCCCTTCCCCCGTCCTCTTCCCCCCCGCCTCCCGCCCTTCCCCCTGCCCCCCACCCCCCCGTCGACCTCTCACACGCGCACTCACACCTACTCTTCCCCCTTCCATTTGTCCCTTACACTTCCATTTTCCACCTTTCCTGTGTGCTGTTGGATTTTTACGGCAGAACAACTATGGGCATGGCCACACCACAGCAGCAGCAGCAGCAGCAGCAGTCACCTGACTATGCTGTATGTCTTACCTGTTGAGGCGCCTTGTTACTTCTTTCTTAGAATTCATTTTCCATATGACTAGGCATTTCCTCGCCAACCCTCCCTTGCACCTCGGTATTCCGCGTTCCCTGTTTTTGACTTGCCTAGCCAGGCAATTGTTGCCTAAACACCTGATTTTCGAACGACACTATCCATGTGTGTGCCGTCTGCCCTCGAGTGAGTTTCTTGCTTGCTTGCCTCTCTTGCTTGCCTGTCTGCTCGAATCACACACTGCAGGGGCTGTTGCGTCTCAAGGCACCTCTCACAAGGAGCAAGTCCCAGGAACTCAGGTCAGGCTAGTGGTTCATTTCAGGTACGCACCAGGTTTCACTGCAGGGGCTGCTGCTGCGTCTCAAGGCACCCCGCTCAGTAGGAGCGAATCCCAGGAGCTTAGGTAGGCGGCCCAGCCCAGCCCAGTTGTTGAGGTATGCTTATTCTTTCTCACTCCCTATCCTATCAGCCATGACGATTAGCCTAGCCAAGGACCAAGTTAGTTTTTTGAGAATTCTCAAAAATCTAACTCAGCCTAGCCTACAACTCCCTCTTTCTCACTCCCTATCAGCCATGACGATTAGCCTAGCCTCGCCCCTTGACCTTCAACATTCAAGCCACCGTCGCCTCACTGCCTGCAGGGCCCTCTCTCGCATTACGTGATACCCACTATTCTGTGCATCCCTTAACCCCCAATCAGGCAGCTTGTTAAAGCCCAGGGCGTGCCTCACCACAGACGAGCTCCTGCAGCGGTTAGCTTCCCCCTCTGACCTTCTGTCCTGCAAGCCACCGTCGCCGCCCTGCAGGGGCCTCTCTCCCTCCCAGGTGGACCTGGCTGCTCTCTCCCCCTCCTCTGCTGCCCTCAGACTAACACACCCCAAACCCTGTTTTTGTTAACCTCTAAACCCCAACCAGGCGCCTGGTGAATGCTCAAGGCCTCCCGCTCTCCACAGACGAGCTCCTGCAGTAATTAGCCTCCCCCTCTGACCTGCAGGCCACCATCGCCGCGCTGCAGGGGCCTCTCTTCCAGGTGGACCTCGCTGCTCTCATTCTAACACCCCAAATCTTATACCCGCAACCCTGATTTCCAACCCAGGCGGCTGGTGAATGCCCAGGGTGTCCCTCTCTCCACGGACGAGCTCCTGCAACGACTAGCCTCCCCCTCTGACCTGCAGGCCACCATCGCCGCGCTGCAGGGGCCTCTCTCCCAGGTGGACCTCGCTGCTCTCTCCTCCTCCGCTGCTGCTCTTGCTGCTGCTATCCTCGGGAATCTGCACATGCCCACTGCTGCTAATGCTGGTGGTGGTGGTGGTGCTGGTGGTGGTGGTGGTGGTGGTGGTGCTGGTGGTGCTGGTGGTGCTGGTGGTGGTGGTGGTGGTGGTGGTGGTGGTGGTGTCAATGCTAGTAGGTCTCCTGCCGGTAATGGTAATGCGGCTCCTGTTCCTGGCACGTCTGGTGATGCTGCTGGTGCTGCTGCTGCTGCTGCTGGTGCTGCTGGTGCCACTTTTGCTTCACTCGGAGCCAGTAGGCTTGGATCGACTCCCCCGAAACCCCCCATTCCGCCTTCTCCTGGAGGCAAAGGGACAGCCCTGGGGGCAGGGGCAGGGGCAGGAGCAGGAGCAGGAGGGGTGGAGTTTAATGGGGTGAGAACACGTCAAATGGCTCGGGCACCTGCGTCGTCATTGGTGCATCGACTGCAGAACAAGCTGGGGTCTAAGAATAGGGCGAACCAGAGTGCACAGCAGCGGCAAGCACAGCAATCACAGCAATCACAGCAATCACAACAGCAGCAGCAGCAGCAGCATCAACAGCAGCAACAGCAACATCAACAACACCAACAGCAGATGCAGGACGCCTTAGTGCAATCATCAGAGGGGCACAATCAGCAGGAGGGCCAGAAGAAACAGCTGCAGCAGCAGCAAGTGCTCGAACGCCAAACCAACAGTGCATCACCACAACCCCCCGCCACAGCCTTGGCTAGCCTGTCCTCCTTCCCAACCTCAGGCTCGGCAAGTTCTCCTGCTTTCCCAACCTCAGGCTCGGCAAGTTTTCCTGCGTTCCCGACCTCAGGCTCGGCAAAAGCTCCTGCTTTCCCAACCTCCGGCTCGGAAAGAGCTCACCCTGTTTCACCCTCAGCGTCAGGCTCGGAAAGTGCCCCTGTTGCTACAGGGCCTCCCATGCCTAACTCAGGTTCGGTTGGGAATGGAACAGGACACGGGAATGTGATATCTGCTGTGGCACCTGGAGGGAGGAATGTGTCATCAGTCGTCAACCTGCTTAAAGGGTAAGTCTTCAGTCCGTTCCTTCGGGATTCAGGTTCGTTTCTCTCATTAAGTGGCAATGGAACGGGCCACGGCACAGTGTGGTATCTATCTGCTGTGGCGCCTGGAGGGAGGAATGTGTCGTCAGGTGTCAGCCTGCTTAAGGGGTACGTTTCTACTGTTTTGCTCCTGAATGCAGCCGTGCCTTTCTTGTAGAGTGAAAATGGGAGCAGGCATGGCACTGTGACATTTGTGCTGTGCTTCTGTCGAATATGGAAGGCTTGTGCCCATTGGTACATACCTAGACATGGGCAAAAAAAATCGCATCGCATCGCATCGCATCGCATTTAATCGCGTTTTTGCGATGGCGATGTTTTTTTTTTTTTTTTAATCATCGCGCGATGCGATGAATTAATATCGCGCGATTTAATTTAAATCGCATTTTAATCGCGCTTAAAAAACGCGATTTAAATGCGATATGCGATTTTTAAAAAATCGCGCGCGATATTGCACTGAAACCCACTCTGAAACCCACTACGAAACCACACTGGTTATTTGCACTCTAGCTTACGACTGCCCGTGAGTCAATTTCCCCGCAGCCATGGTTTTTTTCTGTTTTTTTGGGGTGTTTTTTTATTCTGTTTTAAAACGCGATGCGATTTAAAATCGCATTTTGCGATTTAATTAAATATCGCATGCGATTTATTAATACATCGCGGGTAAAATGCGATGTGCGATTTTTTTTTTTTGGAAAAATAAATCGCGCGATGCGATTTAAAATCGCATCGCTTTTTTAAACATCGCACCTGCATGCGATGCGATTTAAATCGCAATCGCGTTTTGATCATGAAGATACATACCCCCCCTCTCTCATAATCGTTCCTTCAACCCTCTCTTCCACCCCCCTGCTTTACCTCCTCCGTTCCCCATCGCTCCCCCCTCAACAGTACTCTGGCACGCAAGAGAGGGAAGAAACCCGCACACAGCCCCACCAGCAGCGCCACCCCCCGCTCCACTCCCCTATCCCCTTCCTCTGGCTCTCCCACTCCTACTCCCTCCCATTCCGATGCCCCTTTTCTTAATTCCCATTCGCACCAAGCCCAGACCACCACCCACCCGCGTCATTCCCCTGGTACGCCACCTCCTGGTGTTGCTGCTGCTGCCGCTGCTGCTGTTGCTGCCGCCGCCGCTGCTGCTGCTGCTGCTCATCCTGTCACTGCCACACAAGGGAATACTCATATTCGTGCTGCTGCTGCTGGTGCTGCTGTCGCTGCTGCTGCCACAACTACAGCCGGTGCAGCTGAAACCCGCGCTGGCCTACAGTCACCTGGAGGCTCAGCCTCGGGTCCGGCGTCAGGCCCAGCATCAGGCCCGGCATCAGGTCCGGCGTCAGGTCCGGCATCAGGTCCGTGCACCTCTGAAGGCACTGTAGCTTCCCACCCTGTGACCGGGGGGTGTCAGGGTCTCGCCCTGCCACTCCTACAGCAGGGATAGGGGGGTTGGCTGGGTCGGGCTCCCTTCCTGGCACTCCCACGGTGGCAGTTTCAGGGGAGCCTGGATCCGTTCCCAGCACTCCAACCTTTGGGGTCGTGGGTTCAGGGCTCCAGTCTGAGCAGCAAAAACAGCAGCAGCAGCAGCAGCAGCAGCAGCAGCAGCAGCAGCAGCAGCAGCAGCAGCAGGAGCAGCAGCAGCAGCAGCAGCAGCAACAGCAGCAGCAGCAGCAACAGCAGCAGCAGCAGCAACAGCAGCAGCAGCAGCAGCAGCAGCAGCAACAGCAGCAGCAGCAGCAACAGCAGCAGCAGCAACAACAGCAGCAGCAGCAACAACAGCAGCAACAGCAGCAGCAACAGCAGCAGCAACAGCAGCAGCAACAGCAACAGCAGCAGCAACAGCAGCAGCAACAGCAGCAGCAACAGCAGCAGCAACAGCAGCAGCAACAGCAGCAGCAACAGCAGCAGCAACAGCAGCAGCAACAGCAGCAGCAACAGCAGCAGCAGCAGCAGCAGCAGCAGCAGCCGCAGCAACAGCACCCCGCAACCACCACCCTTCACCAGCCCGCTGGCCCTAGAAGCAGACTGCGCAACCACCTCAGAGTGCAACTCCCCTCCTCCATGCCCCTCCCGTCCTTCCAACATACCCCAGTTGCACCTTCCCCGGTTGCACCTTCCCCCAGTGCAGCTGTACCTTTTCCCAGTGCAGTTGTACCTTCCCCAGATAGCCCTCTCACCTCCCCCAGTCTCCTGGTCACGCCTGCTAACCACTCTCCCCTGGGAGAGGCTCGGCTGCTGAATGCAGGATATGGCTTTGAGGCGCCTCAGCATCGGAATGCAGGGTTTGCAGGAGGAGGGGGGGAGTTGGCGGGGGACGGAGGAAGTGGTAGTGCTGCTGCTGCTTCAACTACTGGTGCTTCTGCGGCTGGTGTTGCCACTGGTGGTGCCGTTGGTGCTGGCGCTGGTGCTGCATTGGCTGGGGTAAGGAGAAGTGCTAGTGCCATGACTGCTGATAGCCCAACAGCGCAGCAGCAGGGGCAGCAGCCGGTGCAGCATGCTTTCGAGTCGACTCAAAAGCTGGCTGGGGTAAAGAGGAGTGCTAGTGCCATGACTGCTGATAGCCCAACAGCGCAGCAGCAGGGGCAGCAGCCGCGGAGGGGTGGATCGGGCCCCTTGGACTATCCCTGTGATGGGCTTGCTAGAACAGGCTCCCTCACTCCCTCAGGTTGCCTCACTCCTTCGGGTTCCCACACCCCGTTTGGTGATTCCTCTCGGCAACACAGAGTGGAGCGGCAAAGGAAGTAAGTCGTACTGCCCCTCCTAACGAGCTTTTTGAAAGCTTCCTTTCTGCTTCCTTTCTCATTCCTTTAGTTTTTCTCCCTCACACCCTTGGGCGCCCACACTCCCTCGGGTTGCCACACCCCGTGTGGGGATTCCTTGCGTCAACACAGAGTGGAGTGGCAAAGAAAGTAAGTCTTCCTGCCCCTGCTTACAAGCTTTTAGGGGCATCAGTCTTCTGAGTTGCCTCGCTCCCTCTGGCTCCCGCGCCGCACCCTGTTTGGTGATTCGTTGCGGATATGGCACACAGAGTGGAGCGGCAAAGGAAGTAAGTGCTCCGCCTTGGGCAATTGAGATTGTGTTTCGTAACACTCAAGAACGAGCCATGAAGAAGCCGACCCTGCCTCCATTTCCCCCTTACACCACCCTCGAATACCTTCACCTCCATCCCTCTCCCTTGAATCCCGTTCCCTTTCCTTTCCCCATACACCTCTCTTCTCCCCCGTCCCCTTACATTCCGTCCTTTCTTTCGCTGACCCCTCACATCCTTCCCACACCCCCACACATTCTCCCTGTTCCCACTCCCATTGCCCAACGTAGGGTGGCAGAGCCGCAAAGGCGAGGGTGGCAGTATTGGTGTGCAGGAGGAGGGTTGGGGCCTCAGCTCTGAAGTTCAGCTCTGAAGTTCAGCTCTGAAGTTCAGCTCTGAAGTTTAGCTCTGAAGTTCAGCTCAAGCAGGAGGTGCTTCCTACCCTGTTTCCGTTTCATCGCCCACCGCAGAATGGCAGAGGCCAAAGGCCGTACGAGTGGCGGGTGCTTCCTACCCTGTTTCCGTTTCATCGCCCACCGCAGAATGGCAGAGGCCAAAGGCCGTACGAGTGGCTGGCTTGACGCACAAGTGTGAGACCTTGCCTCCTGCCTCTCCCTTCCCGTTCCACCTCCCAAATTGCCCAACGCAGAATGGCAGAGGCTAAAGGGCATATCGGTGGCGTGGTGTGGCAGCAGGAGAGCTGGGGCCTTCATACTTCCCTGCTTTCAAGTTTAATTCAAACAGGATGTGCTTTCTTCCTGTTTCCCGTTCTATGGCCCACACAGAATGGCAGAGGCCAAAGGGCGTACCGGTGGCATGGCAGCAGGAGGGCTGGGGTCGCCAGACGTGGGAATGTTGAAGCGCAAGTGTGAAACACTTGAAACGGAGAACAGGAGCCTCAAGACTTTCCAGAGCTTCATGAACAGGTGAGGGGAAGGAGTTCTCTGTTGTTCTGTGTGGTTCAGAGTGGTGCTGTGCTGTATAGGAGGTGGCCTGGCCTGGGCTCGCAAGACGTGGGACTCGTTGAAGCGCAAGTGTGAGACGCTTGAAATTGAGAACAGGAGCCTTTAGTCCTTCCAGAGCTTCATGAACAGGAAAGGAGGGGAAGGAGGAGGAGTGCCCCTGTGCTGTGCGGTGAAGTGCGGTGCCGCGTGGTGCAGTGTGGTGCTGTGTGTGTGCCAGGGTGCAGCTGCACACAGTGCAGATTTTTCATCCATCCCCTTCTGTCTCTCCATCCCACCCTCCTTAACGCAGTCCCCCCTTCACCCCCCACCCTCCCCACACCCTAAATCCTTATCACACACGCTCTCCCCCTCTCCCCTTCCTCTCCTCTCCATTTGACAGGAAGGACTCGGAGCAAACGACACGAATAGAGCAGCTGGAGCAGGAGAACGCTCAGCTGCGTGCAGAGAACGAGAGGCTGAGGGACGAGCTGGCTGCTGCTGTCTCTGCGGGTCAACAGACTGGAGTCCCCTCTGCAGCCATCTCCTCAGCAGCAATCCCCGCTTCCGGCACTTGAGGTTGAGGTGCCTCAGGAGGAGCAGCCAGAGCAGCAGAACGGGCAGCTGTGCGCAGAGAGCGAGGGCACGAGAGGCTAAGGGACGAGCTGGCTGCTGCTGCTGTCTCTGCTGGTCAACAGACAGGAGTCCCCTCTGCAGCGATCTCCTCAGCAGGAATTCCCGCCTCCGGCACTTGAGGTGCCTAGAGCAGCTAGAGCGGCAGAACGCTTCCTGCATGCTGGCGTTTGAGTCGACTCAGTTGTCAACTTGAGGCGCCTCAGGAGGAGCAGCTATAGCAGCAGAGTGGGCAGCTGGTTGCACCAGGGAGTGAGGGGACGAGAGGCTAAGGGACGAGCTGGGTGCAGCCAGACTGGACTCCCCTCTGCAGCAGTGTCCCTGCTTCCAGAACTGGAAAAGAGCAGGAGAACGCACAGCTGCATGCAGAAAACGAGGGGCTAAGGGACGAGCTGGCTGCTGCTGCTGCTCATCAGGCAGGAGTGCCAACAGCTGGAGCGTCCGCCGCAGGGCTGGCTCCTGCGAATTTGCCCGTTGACATGACTCCTGCGAATTTGCCCGTTGACATGGCTCCTGCGAATTTGCCCGTTGACATGGCTCCTGCGAATTTGCCCGTTGACATGGCTCCTGCGAATTTGCCCGTTGACATGGCTCCTGCCATACATTCTGCTGGGATGGCTCACTCAACCCCCTACCTAACCTCTGAATCCATTCTAAGTTCTAACTCGTCTTGTCTAGTGCAGCACCTTATTTATAGGGGCCTCAGTATGACAATACAGTAGGCCAGAGCTGTATGGCTTTTCAGCTTGCTCAGGAGAAACGAAGAGATTGCCAGCTTTCTGATGGCATCCTTTTCAGAGGTAAGCTTTTAGGGTTGAAACGGCTTGTCCTGCCAGCTTGCCGACAGCAATTGTAACAGCTGTTGAGAGGAAGCAGTTCCCTTCCCTCCCTGCCTGCACCACCTGGCAGGTACGGTACGTACTCTGTCACCACCAGCCAAGTGTAGGATTGCGATAGTTGCTTTAGCTGTTGCCTTAGTTGCTTTAGCAGTATCTTGGCATCATAAAAACCATGACAATATTATACACAAGAGGTTTCATTTGCAAGCAGGTAGCGGAGTCTCGCACAGGTTAGGGTTTCCTGGCTTAAAGGAAGCCCGTTTCAGCTTGCTAAGAGCAGCGGGAACAGCCCCTGACAGCCGGTTCCCTGCCAGCAGCACCTGACCGAAAGTTCGCGGCCAAGCCGCGGGAATGGGACCCGACAGCCGGTTATACGACACGCCCAGTCCCTTCAGCTGCTGCATGATGCTCACCCCAGCCGGGATCGCCCCTGTGAGGGCGTTTCTGTCTAGAAGCAGCCACCTGAGGCGCTTAAAGGAGCTGATTGTAGCGGGGATGCGGCCGGAGAGTCGGTTGGAGGAGAGGTAGAGGGCGGCGAGGGAGCGGGCGCAGGTGGGGAAGGAGAGAGGGGTGGGCGGGCCAGAGAGCGCATTGAAGGCGAGGTTGAGGAAAGTGAGAGCCTGCTGTCCCTGGCAGAAGCGGGGGATGGGGCCTGAGGGGTGGGGAGAGGGGGGGAGGTCGGGGAGGGGGACGAGGGGGGGGAGGCACAGTGATAGAGCAGGGGAAAGAAGAGTGAAATAACAAGGTTCGGGTTGGAGAGAGTGAGAGCCTGCTGCCCCTGGCAGAAGGGAGGGATGGGGCCTGAGGGGTGTGGTGGGGGGGGGAGGCAGGGAGGAGGGAGGAGGCATAGGGTAAGAGCAGGGGAAAGAAGAGTGAAATAACAAGGTCCGGACCAGAGAGGGATATGAGGGTGTCTGGTGCGGTGGAACGAGTGGGCGGGCCAGAGAGGGACTTCTTACAATCAGAGTTTTAGCCTGAGGCTGAGAAAAGTGAGATCCTGCTGGCCCTTGCAGAAGGGGGGGATTGGGCGTGAGGAGTGGGGGTGGGGAAGGAAGGAAGCACAGAGGACAGAAGAGTGAAAAAAAGTGTTAGGTATAGCGAAAGCGAGAGCCGGCTGGTGCTGGCAGAAGGGAGAGGGGGGATGGGGCCTTAAAAGTGCCGGAGGGGGAAAAAGCACACCGGAAAAAGAAGAGCGAAAGAAAAGGGTTAAGGTTGGCGAAAAAGAGAGAGCCTGCTGGTGCTGGAAGAGCCTGGGGAATTGGGGAGGGGGAGGAGGAAGAGTCACAGGGGGGTGGAGTAGGGAAAGAAGAGTGAAAAGATGAAGTTAGGGTTGGCGAAAGAGAGAGCCTGCTGGTGCTAGGAGAAGGGGGGGAAGGGGCCTGAGGGAACGGGAAAGGGAGAGGAGAGAAAGGGGCGTGGGAAGAAGAGTTGTGACAGGGTGGTGGGAAGCCCGAGACTTACGGTTGAGGAGGGTGGGGGGATGGGGCCTTAGGGATAAGTATGAAGTGAACGAGTGGTCATAGTCCCGTGCGCGGATAACCACACCTCGTTTAATCACATGCAGTTCCCCAGTCGGCTTACCTGTCAGAGAGTTTGCTCCAAGGTCCAAGTAAGTCAGACTGGATAGAGTGGCGAGGCCTTGGGGAATTCTCCCTGAAAACTTGTTGAATCCGAGGTCCACAAAAGTGATGCTCTCGGACAGCCTGGTAAACGGCTTCAAGCTGCCCGAGAAATTGTTGTGGTCCAACCAAAGTTGGCGCAGCCCTTGGGTTGCGGAATTGAAACAGTTCACCGGAACGACTCCGGTCAGGCGATTGTGCGAAAAATCAGCGACTTGAACGTTGCTCATTTCGCTGCACAATATTTCCGGAAAGCTGCCCGAGAAAAGGTTCTCCGAAACGTAGATGAAGCTCACCCACGGGTCGAACTCAATCGTGTCAAGATTCCCGGTCAGCCTGTTTCGGGTGAAGTCAATCCCACTGGCCATTATTTGCTGCCCGCTCAGGTCGCCGGAAAGCCGGTTTTCACGCACTGATAAAAACGAGAGCTGTTTTTTCAGCAGCGCGGGCGGAATTATTCCCGACAACCGGTTTCGATCCAGAATTAACTCCTCAAAATTTGGCAGCGTTGCAAGCGCGCCAGGAATCGGACCGGAAAGCCGATTATCCCTCAAATCAAACCCTCGTAACCCTTTCATCGCGGCGTACGCAGCGGGACGCTGTGGTAACCCGCCCGCGAAGAAATTCGTGGCCGCCCTCACATAGGAAATATTCGGCATGCGAAAAAAGGCGATGGGCAGGGAACCAGTGAAGCAGTTGCCTGAAAGATCGAGAGACCCGAGTTTCGTAAGCCAGGAAAGCGACCGCGGGACCGAACCAGCGAGCCAGAGGTTTGTTAGAGCGAGAATCGTAAGGTCCGTTAACTGGCCGATAGACGCGGCGAGAATTGCGGGAGCTTTTCCGCCGGGTTCGCGCGCGGTTCGGTTGCAGAGGCGAGGCGTCGGTGGGTGCGAGAGAGGGCTCCCAGACAGGAAGAGCCCTTCAACAGCGCCGTTGTCGGCGCATTGCACGCCGGGCCACGCGCACGCGTTCGGCTTGTTCGCCGGAATAGGCAGCTGCGCCGCCGCGAAGATCGCCGCGAGAGCCGCCTTGTTTGCCGCCGAAGCCCGCGGTATGGCAGCAGCAGCAGCAGCAGCAGCAGTACTCTTACTAGGAGCATCATTAGTAGTAGCAATCCCAGTAACGCTGTCAAAACCGTCAGATTCTCGGACCCACGTAGTTTCCGCGGCTGCAGATGCTTTCTCCGCCCGCCGAGCAGCGAGAAACTGGGCCGGGTGGGGCGGGAAAGTCCGCGCGGAGGCTCGTCCGCGGCGAGCAACAGACAGCTTCGATGTAATCTGCCTCGGTATGGGATCGAGAGCCGTCGCCGGCGGTGTACATCGGACAAGTGCTAGGAGTAAGAAGGACGCTACTACGGTAGTGGTGTGTGCGCGAGTCGCGTAAGCAGCGGTGATTGAATGTGCGACTTTAGGGTTATACAGGCCGGCCATTGTGACTCGAAAATCTCGGAGAGCTGCACCTCCTGGGTTTGGATAGAAAGTGGGTAAGGCATTTTCAAGGACAGGGAAAGAAATGAGCTGGAGGAGTGCTCCTCTGGGCCTTCGTGTAGAACTCTCTTGCTCATCTTGTGTCTGGTAATCGCAGCACAGTGCTGCTGTGCTGCCCCGCACAGCACAGCAGTGCAATGCAATGTGTGAGCTTGCTTGTGCATGCTGCGAGCGAACACAGATGGCAAAGAGCGCAACACAATTGTTGGTCTAGACCAGACCAGGCTCGGACAGACCAGGAGGAGAACGGTTAAGTTGGGCACAGCAGGGCGGGGTTCGGTTTGGTGGCGTGAGAACCTCCATGATGAATTCAAACCGAGAAAGTTTTCTCTCGTTTCCTCTTGAGGGCGTGTATAAGGGGTGGTTCGGTCCTGAGCCTAGCTGGTAATCAAGATCGCTAATTTCGCAAAATCTTTTCGTCAGTGACGAGCGGAACGTGCGCCTCCTGGTCAGGCATGCAAATCGCCCCTACCCTTCGGAGTTCGCGCCCTAAGTTCGCAAACTTGTAAATATTCAACGAACGCCTGGTTCGCACGTCAAGTTCGACTTGATCAAAACTTCTACTAAAGCACCCCCCTTCAAAGCCTGATGTCCCGTGATCTGACGTCAGGATACCGAAGCTTTTCCGTTACGAACCCATTTGAAAGTAACGGAACCCAGCTGAACCTCGTAGTGAGGTCCAAAACTGACACCTTGTGATTTATCCCCATGGCGTGCTGGTTTCGAGAACTGCAGGGTGAAATACGGCCGCACAGAGAAATATGGCCCGAGGACAAGTGTTTGGGACGCTTTATGCTTGATCCCTCGGTACCGCTGGGTACACCTTCACATTTGCTGCAAACTTTCTGTTGTTACGCTTACAACACTAAATGCACATCACCTCATCGCATCCCAATTAGTCCTTTGGGACTTGCTAATAACTGGTCCACTATCTTGTGTTACAACTCCATGTCCTCCAACTCTGGCAGCGGAAAGCGGAGGATTGCTGCGATCCCGGCGAGATTGACCAGTTCTGCATAAGGTGTAAGAGAACAGGAACAAAATAAATACACGGAAAACACGTGCAGAACAAAGTGGGATGCGAAGTCGCACACAACACATGCATCAAACAACATTGTGCTTGCATATAGCGTATTTTATATGTAACCCAATCAACAAGGCAGACGCACATAGAGGTTTTGAAGTATGCGTGAGTGTACGTACGCTCTCCCGATACGTGCAAGGAGGAGAAGACGTGCACTTGACCGCCATTCCCTCGAACCGACTCCACCAGATCCACATATCGCCGCCTTGTCTTCACATCCGCATTCCTGTTAGGATTGAAAGGTTGAAATGCACAGATGAGAAGGACGGCTTAGGGGGAAGAGAAGACGTGCACTTGACTGCCATTTCCTCAAACCGACTCCACCAGATCCACATACCGCCGCCTTATCTTTACATCCGCATTCCTGCAAAGAGTGAAGGGTAACAAGGCACAGAAATAGTGGTCCCTTCTTTTCGATGTGCACTTGACCGCCATTCCCTCGAACTGACTCCACCAGATCCACATACCACCGCCTTGTCTTCACATCCGCATTCCTACGTGGGAGGAAAGAAGGGGAGGGCAGGGGAGGGGAAGAAAGAGAGGGGGGAAGAGGGGGGGGGGGGAGGAGGAAAGGGAGACGTTGAAATACTCGGATAAAAAATGTTAAAACAGGAGAAAGAGGCATTCAAGGGAAAAACAGAGGAAAGATACGCACGTACTGGAACAGGTCATCTGCGATGAGGAGTGTGTGAATGGCAAGGGGCACATAGTCAGCTTATAGGTTGACTCAAGTCAACTATGCACATACCGGAACAGGTCGTCTGAGATGAGAAGCGTGTGAATGGCAAGGTGCTCGCTCTGATACATCTAATAACTCAAGATCCATGCATTGAGACATCTCATAATCAAGATTTCTCAAGACATGAAATTGCAGGGTGTTTTTGAGAATTCTCAAGAACATCCATGCACGTACCGAAACAGGTCGTCTGAGATGAGAAGGGTGTGAATGGCAAGGGGCACATCGGGTCAACCTATAGGTTGACTCAAGTCAACCATGCATGTACCGGAACAGGTCGTCTGAGGTGAGAAGCGTGTGAATGGCAAGGGGCACATCGGGTCAAATTATAGGTTGACTCGATTCGACCATGCACATACCGGAACAGGTCGTCTGAGATGAGCAGTGTGTGAATGGCCAGGTGCTCGCTCTGATACATCTTATAACTCAAGATCCATGCATTGAGACATCTCATAATCAAGTTGTCAAGACTTGAACTCCATGCGCATACCGGAACAGGTCGTCTGAGATGAGGAGGGTGTGAATGGCAAGGCGCTCGTTGGCTGCCTCCACATGCCCAGGACCATAGAAGGCTCGAGAGGAGTCCTGGAGAGTGGGGAGAGAAGAAGGGAGTTACCCAAGGTTGTCACCGGAAAACCAAGATGCATAGGGTGTGAATTGCAAGGGGCTCATTGGCTGCCTCCACATGCCCGGGACCGTAGAGCGCCCGAGAGGAGTCCTGGAGAGAGGGGGATGAAGAAAACAGGGTCCAGGTAGGCATTTGTTATGTTCGTCTGGCATCCGTGTGTAATGAGTCGATTTTTGAGTCGACTCAAAAATCGACTCATTACACACACAAAAAAACAGGGTCAAGGTAGGCATTTGTTATGTTCGTCTGGCATCAGACAGCGCAAGGGATGCCTCCATATGCCCTGGACCATAGAAGGCCTAAGAGGAGTCGTGACAAAGAGTAAGGGACAGAAAACGCTGGCAGATACGTGAGGAAGCAAGCTCATACGCGCAGCAGCACAGGGTGTGTGGATCACAAGGTGTAAGCTCATAAGCAACGCTCTCTCATACTCGCCACCTCGCATGCCCTGGACATGCATGAGAGAGCTTTGCGTAGAAGCTCTAGAGTGCGTTAGTGTTGGGCCATGAAACGGCATACTATAGACAACGGGGTTGCAATCACAGGGGCAGGTGGTGGCACATACATTTGAGAGCATGGCGTAGAAGTCCTCTAGTGCTTTGACCTGGCCATGATTCAGGGGGGGGGGGGGGGGGGGCGGGGGGGGGGGGGGGGGACAGAGAGGAAGGCAGAGGGAATGTTTGTCTATAATAATGATAGTAATAGGAATGTAGGGGGAAAGGGAGGAGGGGGTGCGGTGAGGCGGGCATGACAAGGGATTTCGTGAACGTGTGGGCGGGAGAAACAGAAGAGCGAGGGGAGAGGAACGTAGGAGTGAAAAAAGGGAAGAAAAAAGCAAGCTTTGAACCGAGGGGAAAATGAAATGAAATCTCTAAAAATGGCTAAAAATGAGAGTGCGGGCATAAATAAACGTGAGGTGTTGACAAAAATATAGCAAGCCTTGGTGGATTCTATTCAGAATGAAAAATCTCATCTCAGTTCTTCCAAGTCTTACCTCCTTTGCTGCCTTGGTGTCATAGATTTGGGTCATGATAGCTGGCATAGCTAGCATCTCCTTCACTGCATGTCTACCCTGGCACCACACACACAAACACACCCCAGTCACACCCACACTGGTTGCTCACATACCCACCCACCTCCACGCCTCACTCACCTCTTTTGCTGCCTTGGTGTCTTTGATTTGAGTCATGATAGCCGGTAGTGCTAGCACCTCCTTTACTGCATGCCTGCAAAAAACACGGGCATGCATGCATCCTTCATCCGGACTTAGACATACTGACTTGAAAAATTGGGAACCCAAAAAAAAAAAACAAACAAACAAATGCATCCCCCAGGCTCACAGCTATCGATCATCCGACCATACACCGATCAGGCATCCCACGCTCACTTGTATCCAGACGTGGAGTGCGCGAGTACGATTTTTGAGGCGCCTAAAAAATAGACAAATGGCCTCCCGGGCTCACAGCTATCGACCATACACCAATCAGGCATCCCGCGCTCACTTGTATCCAGATGTGGAGTGCGCGAGGACGATCTTCGCCTTGTTCTCAATGATGGCTCGGATGTTCTGCCGCGTTGCTTCCAGCATCATATACTCAAAGAACTGGTCCTGCGCTGTGCGGTAATGAGTGATGGGCATGGGTGAACAAAGACGGTTTGATTTGAGGCACCACAAAACATTGAGCTTCCAGTTTCATTTAGTCAAAGAACTGGTCCTGCGCTGTGCGGTAAACGGTTGCAGTGCAGTAGATGTGATTGGAGGAGGGTAACAAAGGTTGATGTTACTAAAGCTTCCAGAAGCACTGCACTGCATAGTGCAGGACGAAGCACAGTGCAGGACCAGTTCTTCCAGGAGCATCGTATAGTCAAAGAACTGGTCCTGCACTGTGTGGTAGTGATTATGTTTATGAGGCATAATGAGGAGCATAGGGAGAAATACCGGACCTTCGAACAGATTAATACAATCAAAGAATTGGTCCAGCGCTGCGTGTTGAGCAGTGGGGGTACGGTTCAGTACGGATAAGTCACAACATTTTAGAACCATGTTTTAGCATGAAAGAGCTGGTCCTATCTGCACTGTGTGGTAGCTGCTAATATGGGAGGGAGCTGCTATAAAGCGGATGTGGCAAACAGCAATGGGCAGCAGTACCTTGGTGAATCCAGGACTCGCTATAAGCAGGCAGCGAATGACATTGAAGTCAATGTGACGTTGCACACCCTGTAGAAGGATGGTGAAGAGGAAGGAGCAGGAGAAAGGGAGAGGGAATGGAAAGGAAGCCTTTAAGAGGTACAATGCAAAGCAGAAAAGACTTTCTATAAGAGAAAAAATAAGATGTTGAATAAACGAAAACAAAAATAACACAAGAATAAACCAGTCAAACAAAAGTGAATGGAGGGAGGACCGGACATAGATGCCAACTCAAGCTAAAAGAAACACTCGCCTGAAAGACGTTTTCAAAGAATTTATTGATTGCCTGCATGTGGGGGACGGTGGGAGGGTGAAGTGAAACACGATGTCTGAAGAGAGCACGTGACTTTTGAATCGACTCAAAAGTCACCTCTGAAGAGAGCAAGAACAACTGCCTAGCATTCAAAACTTCGCATAATAGGCCGCCTCAAAACATTATAATTAATTATGTATGGATTGCCAGCAAGGGGGAGACGGTGGGATGGTGAAACCGTTTCACTGAAACGCGTTGCCATATGAGCGCAGGACCAACATCCTCGTTAGAAAAAGACCTGTTTGGAGACATCTCAAAGTGCATTTTCAGATAAGTTGCCAATGCCGACTCTCGTTTCCCCTTGTCGTATCCTGCTAATGCCTGCCCTCATTTTTTGGGATCGCTGTCTCAACATGTAATCCCCTATTCCCCTACCCCCCTATCCCCCTATCCCCCCCCTCACCCTACCACTTCTACCCCCCAACCAGACGCACACCTTGTCATATCCTGCTATTGCCGGCCCTCTTTTCCTTGGGATCGCCGTCTCGATGCGCGCTTTCACTGTAGTCACACTGCACAAAAGGACAAGCAAGGTTACATGTGGGGAGGCAGAAAAAACAAACCATGATGGCCTGCACAAGTGTGCCCACGGGCGCGTATAGACATTCACAAACACACACACGTGTTCCAAATCCATTTCCCCCCTTCCCCCCCCCCCCAAATCGTCCCCCAAGTCTCACACATGAGCTGGCCACTCCTGCGACTCCGCTCTTCACTTGAGAAATCGGGTAGGGTAGCAGAGCAGCAAGCTCGGTCTTTCCGACTTAAGTCTACTGATGTGAGAACTAGGTGCGCCAGCCCCTCCTGTGTCACCACCACTGCTCAGTCCACTTCTGAGGCGTCCTGAAACCCCTCATGCTCACCTCCCCCTAGGACTCACCTCGCCCAGGTGTCAACCCCCCCTAGGTATCACCTCCCCCAGGTCTCACCTCCCCCCAATGAGACACACGTTAGCCAGCCACTCCTGCATCACTGCCACTGCGAACTCCGCGACGGTCAAAATGCCAGATCCGCGATTTTCTGCCATCTATTTCACCCGGGTTAAAAAAATTCGGCCGAAAAAACGGCCGTTTTTTTGCACCACCCTGAAAATGGCACTTTCTACCGTTTTTTATCGTATTATACGGCCGAAAAAATCGGTACAGTATTATACGGTCAAATTTTGAAAAACAAAAGCCGTTTTTTCGCACCTTGCTCCTGCATCACCACCACTGCTAAACCCGTTCCCAGGGCACCTCAATACTTTGCCCGAGTGTCATTTCCCTGATTTTTCACCTTGCACAAGTGTCACCTCCCCTGAGTCTCACCTCCCTCAGGTCTCACCTCCCCCCAATGAGACACACGTTGGCCAGACCCTCCTGCATCACCACCACTGCTAAGTCCGCATTGGCTGAGGGGTCTGCATGAGGATGGAAACGAGCAGAGGGCAAGAGTCATGGGGGGGTCAGAAGGAGGCATGGGGCACACTCACTCACTCACGGCAAACGTCAACACGCCCAGAGCCAAACGTCAACGGCCAGAGCCTCACACGCCCTACCCTACCACTCGCCGCATGCCCTAAATTGCCCCCCCCCCAGTACCACATCCACATCCCCACCAACGTTGACACTCACCGCACGCCTCCTTCAGCCGGTCGATGGCCACTGAGTCCCACACGTCCTGAAGGAAAAAGAAAGAAGGCGCATCAGAAAAGCAAGGAAAGCGAGAGGGGAGGGGGGGGGGGGGGGGGGGGGGTGTGGGGGAAAGGGAGAAGACAGAGAGGCAGGTTTTAGACATCTGATGGTTCACATCCCATGGAGCCCACTGAGTCGATCGATCGATGGGATGGGAGGGACGGCTGTTTTTTTTAGTCGACTCAAAATACACCTGGAGGGGGGGGGAGAGGGGAGGGGAGAAGACAGACAGCGAGGCAGGTTTTAGACATCTGATGGGCCACATCCCATCCCACGGAGCCCGCTGCTGAGTCGATCGATGGGATGGGAGGGAGAGCCCACAGGGCTCTCTGTGTGATGCGATGTCATCCCACCCACCCACAGTGCCCGCAGCCGCTGAGTCCGAGTATCAGCGCCCAAGGAATAGCTCCGGGGCATAATAACAAACACCACCAGAGAACGGTAACCGATGGTCCTTTCCAGGCTTACCTTTTTCAGAACCTTTTTGAAAAATATGGGTCCATTGGTCAAACACCACCAGAGAACGGTAACCAATGGTCCTTTCCAGTCCAGGCTTACCTTTGTGAGTGTGAAGGCCCGTTGCAGGTCGAGCTCCAGTGTGTGGTACGATCTACCAAAGCGACAGACAACAGCGGACGGTACCTTTGTGAGTGTGAAGGCCCGTTGCAGGTCGAGCTCCAGTGTGTGGCACGATCTACCAAAGCGACAGACAACAGCGGACGGTACCTTTGTGAGTGTGAAGGCCCGTTGCAGGTCGAGCTCCAGTGTGTGGTACGATCTACCAAAGTGACAGACAACAGTGGACGGAACCTTTGTGAGTGTGAAGGCCCGTTGCAGGTCGAGCTCCAGTGTGTGGTACGATCTACCAAAGCGACAGACAACAGCGGACGGTACCTTTGTGAGTGTGAAGGCCCGTTGCAGGTCGAGCTCCAGTGTGTGGTACGATCTACCAAAGCGACAGACAACAGCGGACGGTACCTTTGTGAGTGTGAAGGCCCGTTGCAGGTCGAGCTCCAGTGTGTGGCACGATCTACCAAAGCGACAGACAACAGCGGACGGTACCTTTGTGAGTGTGAAGGCCCGTTGCAGGTCGAGCTCCAGTGTGTGGTACGATCTACCAAAGTGACAGACAACAGTGGACGGAACCTTTGTGAGTGTGAAGGCCCGTTGCAGGTCGAGCTCCAGTGTGTGGTACGATCTACCAAAGCGACAGACAACAGCGGACGGTACCTTTGTGAGTGTGAAGGCCCGTTGCAGGTCGAGCTCCAGTGTGTGGTACGATCTACCAAAGCGACAGACAACAGCGGACGGTACCTTTGTGAGTGTGAAGGCCCATTGCAGGTCGAGCTCCAGTGTGTGGTACGATCTACCAAAGCGACAGACAACAGCGGACAGTACCTTTGTGAGCGTGAAGGCCCGTTGCAGGTCGAGCTCCAGTGTGTGGTACGATCCCAGCTGCAGGGATGAGAAAGAGGCGAAAAGGGAGGAAATCCGAAACCGGTGGGGAGGGGGGGAGGGGAGAGGGTTGGGGGGGTGGAAGAGACAGAGGGGGTGATGCGTTGGGTGCATACAAGGGTGATGCCGGATGGCTCACTGTGTTCCTGCTTCGAGGTGACACGTGTTTCACAGGAGTCGCAGTAACAAACTTGGCCTCTCATCCATGCAAGTTCCATACTCGAGCATTATCTCTGAGTACATCCTCCTCTCCACTAACACAGCAATCACCTTGTGAGTCCACTCAAAAGAAGACTCCCATTCATTTCCCCCCACTGACACAACAGTCGTCTTCACTTCACACCCATTCATTTCTAACTCAGACTCTTTTCACCCACCCTCAGAACCCACTCACCTTCACGTGCTCATTCTCGGTGACATTCTTCCCACGAACTCGAATGACATGCGCCGACGCATCGAAATCCACCTCCTGTCGTGGGCCGATGGCAGGAAGGGAGGGGCAATGGTGGCGAGGGAGGATGGAGATATGAAGGCCATGAGAATTGGAACTCCCACGATCTCGAATGACGTGTGCAGACGCATCTAACTCTACCTCCTGTCAACGCAGAGCGGGAAGAGGGGAAGAGAAGGGGGAAGGAGAGGAAGGAGGGGGGTGCAGGAGGAGGAGGGGGGGTGGCTTAAAAGCACGGTATCGAATGGCATGGCATGGCATGGGCCAAAGCATCACCATCCACCCATGCTTCTCGTTCCCAGCGTCTTATTGTGTCTCACTTCGACCACTACTTCCAGCCTCAGCTTGATTCGCCCTGACTCACTTCCGCCCCTTCCTCACTCACTCCGCTCCGCTCTCCCTGAACCTACAATCCCGACACGTTATCAGCTTACCCCACCACCCTTCCCCCTCAATCCTACCACCCATTGTCTCGCCTCCACTCCACCTCAACTTCCAGCCCCAGCTCATTAGGGTTTAGGCGCCTCAAAACTACCACCCATCATCTCACCTCCACCGCCACTTCCAGCCTCAGCTTGATTCGCTCTGACTCACTGCCGCCCCCTCCCGTCTCTTTCTGCACCTTCCTGGAACCATCCCACCATCCAGAAAAGAGCGGGAGACAGGGGCGGAGGAAGGAGGGCGGCAAGGAGAGAAGTCAGAAACTAGAGAATTGGCATTGGAAGGGGCACCTGAAACGGCACCTGAAAGAACACCTGACAACGGCAACTGGATGCTCCAAGCTTACATAGTCTTAGAAAGATGTATGTCTGGCGTGGCACCTGAAATGCCTGCTCATCTGGAATGTCTAGGTGAAGCAGAACTTACCTGAAAATTGCATATGGAACTGCAACGATCCCGATTCATTCCACAAAAATGCTGCGTTAATACTCACTGTACCCGGACTGCCAAATCCACCTGAAATTCCACCTGAAAACGCACCTGAATGTGGTGCTTTGCACATGGTCGTGCGGAGCAATGAGGTTGTACGCATGCCATAGGTCCTCCTCCACCTCAGGCACGATCTGGTGGGATGGAGATAGATACGGGAGGGGAAGACACAAACGGGGGGGACCGCCTCTCAATGAGAGAGGAGAAGAGGGGGGAGGGAGGGGAGGGAGGGGGAGGGAGGGGGAGGGAGGGGGAGGGAGGGGGGGTGCGGGAGGAGGGAGTGTTGCCATCAGGTTGTCGTCGTCTGCTTGCCATCGTTCCTTTTCCAACTCAGGTACGAAGGGGAAGAGGGGTGGGAGGGGGGGGGGGGGAGAGAGATTCTAGAGCAATGAGGTCGTATGCATGTCATAGGAGGACAGGGGATGACCGCCTCTCCTGCACCTCAAGTACGATCTGGTGGGGTCGCAAGTAGGAGGAAGGGGAGAGAGCGGTGGGGAGACGGAAGGGGTGAGAAAGGGAGGACGGAAAGCAATCAGGCTGTTGTATGCGTGCCATAGTTCCTCCCATACCTCAGGTACGATCTGGTGAAAACGACTGGGGGGGTGGGGTCCGTGTGTGTGTGTGTGTGTGCGTGTGTGTGTGTGGTGGGGAGAGATGGGGGAGAGGCAGGGAGAACGGGAGGGTGGGGAAGAGCGGGCGGGGTTTCGGAGTTTTGAGGAGCAATGGGAAGGCGAAGCGGAAGGGGGAGGTGAAGAGACATTAGGCGAATGAATCCCTGGTGACGACCCGATCCGATGGAATGTGGGAGGGATGAGAGAGGAACTATTCAGCGATGGCACGGCGGAGTGAAGGCCACGGCAATGCAGTCCGGGCCCTTTCTTTTGTTTTCAGATACACCTGAAAGTTTTAGAGAGTGAAAGCCAAAATGTCTAAGGCGTCGATCGGACTTTCATGGGACCAGAGTTAGGCTGACTTTCTTTAAGGTCTCAGACACTCAACCCAAATCGTGTACACCCGTCTACAATTTCCCCTCGCACCTTGGCCACGCCGGGACCGTCCTTCTCGAAGCTTCTCTTCAGAAGCTTCATTTCGGCTTCCGACGACTGCCCTCTGGATCGAACGATATTCCCGCCGTCGATTCGACGGTCACACGGACGAAAGAGCTACTGGCTGCGTTCGATTCGGTCTTTGCCGGGCCGGGGAAATGAGCGATTTTTTAGAATTCTAAAAAAACTCTCGTTCGGTCTGTGCCGGGGAAATGAGCGAGAAGCCAGCTGTTATCATTCGCCGCTCGAGAGCGCTAAAAGGAAAACCTCTTCGATCCTCTTCGTTGTCCTTTTATATAATGATCGCTCGACAGTCCTCCGCATGGATTCTGACAGCCTACTCCTTTCACTAGATAACGGTCTATCTTTGCCTCGGGATTGGTTTGAGAAAACAGCCTCACAGGAACCATGTGTGTTTTAGGACGAATGGTCTGCATCTTTGCAGCATTATGAAAGTGCTCCGTTTCCAGCTTGTAGTGTAGGGCTGCTTGTGTCTACACTTTCTTGTGTACAAACTAGCGACTAAACGTGTAACGGGGTGCATCATGTGAATGGGAAGGAAGGAAACGAATGAGCGTAGATGTAGCTGATAAATGTAGGTTGGACAGCTAGTATGTATTTTTTTTCACTCCATCACAAAAGCTTCAATCTAAGACAAATCCATTTTCCATTTCATTTACAAACCAAACCACTACTAATCAGTCAAGACCAGCTGCAATAAGAAGCTCTCAAGCAACCAAAACAACCATAACAAAGCAAGACCATACCAGAGCCCACAAAGCACAAAGCAAACTTCTAGCTAAACTCCAGCCCACCATTCTCAGAACCACCATATCCAACTTCGGAATGTTTGCTTCCCCAATCCACTTTCTCCATGCATCTCTTCTCCCTTGTTTTCCCAGCTCCATGAGGCCATCTAGCTTCCAGCAAGACAGCTGGAATCACACCAACCCGTCCACCTCAATTCTAGTCTAATCATCACCATCATTGTCGCTGTTCCCTCGTCCTCCCCTCCTCCCTCCCTTCCTCCCCGCACCACTCCCATTGCAGTTACCAGACCCACTTCCGTTACAGTTCCCACTTCCGCCAGCCCTGTTCCCTGCACCTGCGCCCGTGCGGCCAGCCCCCCCCTGGCGCGCCCCTCCTCCGCTCATGCTGCCCGCACGTCCACCAGCCGCACCCGCACCTGCGCCACTTCCGCGGCCCTGTTGCTGCGCAGAACCCTGCCGCCCAGCGCCGCCGCCGTTGCCGGTGCAGCCGCCAGATCGGGTGCAGGAGGAGGAACCGGAGGAGCCGGAGCGGGAGCTGGAGCGGGAGCCAGAGCCGTCACGCTTGCGGTCGCGGTCGCGGTCCTGGTCGCCGGAGCCGTCCCTCTTGCGATCCCCTCTCGCGGTTGTCCGCCACCACGTACCCCGTGCTCTGAATGCTCGCTCCCTGCACGCTCGCGGCATTCACTCTCCCCGAGCGGCCGCCGCCACCGTTGCAGCCGCTGCCGCCGCTGCCGTTGCAGTTTCCGCTGCCCTTGTTGCCCTGCCGCCGGTTCGCCACCTTTCCAGCGCTGCTGCTGCCGCCCCAAGCGCCCGCCACGACCCGCACCCGCGCCAACTCCGCTTCCCATGCGTCCCGCTCCGCCCCGCCCCCGCCGCCCTGCTTGCTGGCGCCAGCTTTCTGCCGGCCGCCGGCGCCGCTGCCGGTGCACCCGCCAGACTTGCCACCGCAAGAGCCGTCGCGGTCGCGGGTCGCGGTCGCGATCCTGGTTGCCCGTGCCGTCCCGCTTGCGCTCGCGCTCCGGACGACGGTCGTCGTCGTCGTCGTCGGCGACGGCGAAGGTCGTCAGGCTGACGACGACGAGCAGCAGAAGCGCGAGAGCGAGAAGCTTCGACGAAGCCATAATGCCGCCGGGGATAGATGGTAACGATGTACGAGGCTCGCTCTAGTAGAGAGAGATGGTCAAAGTTGCTGAAGACAGAGATGGTCTAACCAAATGGTGGTAGGGAGGGAATGTGAGGGGAAAGTGCACGAGTCGTAGGTCCGCCGGATGGTTTCACAAGATGAGAAGCTCGAGAGCAAATACGGGTTTTATAGTACGAGGCGGCGTTATGGTGTGGAAGATGGTCCGCCAGGGCGACTGCAGCGAATCCCGACAAATCTGCTCGACCCAGGCCGCGGCGGCCAGGCGCCATCGCGGCGAGCGCGCTTCCCTGGACCCCGCGGGAAGCACGCGCTTGAGATCGAGCGACAATGCCGCATGAGTAGCAGTGGCGTGGCGTAACGAGCGAGAAAGCTTGCCCGAGTTCCGCGCATCCCGCGCGGGAACAAGGGGGCCGACGGCACTAAGTTTCCTCGGAAACAACGGGCTGCAAGGCCCCGACCCCCCTGGAGTCGCACGCGCATGCTGACTGGACCTGCCTGGCCGTAAAGTTAGGAGCCTTCCGGACAGGTTTGGCTCTTGGCTGGGCAGGTATATGCCCTAGCAGACACGGCTGACGGCTGGAACTTCGCCTGCAACAACAAACGCCAGAGAGACGACGACCTTGACAGCTTGATGCTGGCTGTGCTGGCTGTGCTGGCTGTGCTATGCTGTGTTGGCGCGCGAGCTAAATTGACGCAGGCTTATGGTGCGGTTATTATCACCAGCCTTACGGTAGTTTCTGGCGAAGGCACTTCCTGCACGGCGAGGGGGCGAAAGGAAGGGGGAAGGCGGAAGGGGGAAGGGGGAAGGGGGAGGGGGTCTGTCCGCTCGAGACTTCTTGGGAAGGAGCTGGTGGATGTGCATGTGGGCTTCGGAGGAAACAGTGGAGTGACTCGGTAAAGGCAGAAGTCGATATTGGAAATACGAGTTGCGAGGGTACACTAGTGCACTCGTACCAGGGTTGTAAGACAACGCAACAAGTTAGCTACTACAAGATAATATATTTATGAAAATGACAATTAGTTGGTCCTCTCTGAGATCCGCATCACAAATTAACGAGTTACGCGGTATTTTTGGGCCTATTTGTGGCTTCTATTGGACGGAAAACACCTAAATTGAAAAGGAAAGGCACTTCCACTGCCAACCAAGTCCCAAGGCCTAGACACAAAGCATTAACAATGTTGAAGGGTGGCGGGGCCGTTGCTAATGTTGATTTAAGGGCATTGGTGGTGCTGCTAATGTTGAAGGGTGTTGGAAATATCTCAAAGAACTTAAGCGTTTCTGAAGTGTAACACTACACTCGAGGAAGACTACAAGGGAGCACGCGAGTCAACGGAGGTTACACGAGGGGGCGGACAAAGAATGCGAAAGGTCGCAACTGGAGGTTGCGACTGACCGTTACAGCATCATGGATGGTAACCGAAGCGGCAATCGAGTCGCTGTGCGACTCGATAAACCGTTCCTGTAACTGTACTCTACAACTGCTTTCTTATCTTCTATATATTGCTGTATGCTTGTTCCCTTAATCAATCACTTGTTCTCACATACTAGTACAAGGGTTCAAACTGCCTCAACTTCCGCTGCACTACCCCAAGTCTCAAGTCTCTACAAGCTGGGACTTAGTCTCTGCCAAAAGATCCTAAGGGCTTTTTCTCAGCCCAACATGGTATGAGAGCTGGTCAGAGACCAAACTCCCAGCAACTACGTTCTATCACCAACCTGCAACTCAACTCATTCAACGACTTCATTGATTGCAAGACATGGACAGCAAGGGCAAGAAGTCTCTACGGGCTCACCCAGCGGCCAAGAAACTCAACACGGCAACTCTGGTCTGCACACCTCAGGACTGCAGACAGAGACCGGGACTGCTCAAGAAACAACGGGAAGAGTACCAGAGATGGTTACTCCATCTCCCTCTTCAAGCGTGGACCCCAACCTTATGGAAAGGTTCTTCAGCTTCATGTCGCACATTCGACCCAGCAGCAGCAGACAAGGACACCTGCGCATTCAACACAGAGCAATGGAGGAAACATGGGATTAGCGCCGATGAGCCTCGACAACTCATCCTTCGGGCGACACAACCAAGCGCCTACCTTTGCGCCTTATCATTCTTCACCGGGGACGTTCGAGTTCATGCCGCCCCGCGCCCAACCAACAGCAGCTGCATCACAACAAACACCAAACGAGATTCTCAAGTCTTCAGGCTCAGTTCTCACACGTTATTAAGTTACAAATCCTCACCGTTCAACGGACACGACTTCTTTACCTGGAGCTTCGAGTTCGAGCTGCTGATGGAGGCCGCGCATCTTCTGGGATACTTCAACGGGTCCCTGCCATTCCAAGCAACGGCACTGGAAAGGAACAAGAGATCTTCACGTATCAGTCGCTGCTGGCGTATACAGTCTCCTGCGAAACCTGTCACCACAAGAACAGCAGAGCATCAGAACATATCGGAGTTATGGAAACTCCGCGGAACTCGCATGGCATCATCTCAAGTGCCTTTATCAAGCAAACGACAGCGTGACACAAAGCAGACTCATGCAACAGCTGACAACAATACAGATGAAGACCGGGGAAAAGGCGATGCAGTATATGAGTCGCTGCCAGACCTCCGCGACCGCCTGCTTCGGTGCGGAGGAACAATCACTGAAGAAAGCTTCGTGACACTTGTCCTCGCCGGGCTCGGGCCAGAATGGAGAACCACACGATCACTTCTTCGCGCCCACGGAAGAATTTCGGAGATGCACCTCTGCGCCGAGCTTCACGCTGAACAACAGGAGATGGACTGTTCGAAGAAAGACAACCAAGGAAGCAGCAGCAGTTAGTCTTCTACACTCAACGAAGAAACGACAACACTACAATCGACGCAGCAAGCAAGATCGCGACAACAGAGGACTACCTTGTGCCGCCGTTCTGCCACAACTGTCAGACTTCCGGGCACTCCAAGGTCAACTGCAACCGCCCTCGCGTTTACCGTCCAGCAGACCCACAAGTCGCTTCCACCAAGCAAGTCCCCCAAGGCGCTCTTCAACATCTGCACAACAACACCAAACATTATCAACTGCATGGTACACATCGACAACTGCGCACCCGGTCACCACCCACTTACGCGCCAGACGAAGAAGAGCTTCCGCCACCGCGCTCACAAACTTCAAGTCAATCCGACATACGCTGCAGTCGCCAACGCCGAACCCACCGGGCGAAACACCTGGTTCTTGGACAGCTGCTGCGGTCAACACATGTGCTCCTCGGGACGCTTCGTGCAACAGGAGAAACGCCTCAACCGCGACGTCGTCATCACCGTCGCCAACAACGAAAACCTGAAGACAAACAGACAAGGCGTGGTTCAGTTACAATCATGGAGACAAACGTATACTTCAGCTCAACAAAGTGCTCATTGTCGACAACTGGGATACAACCTACTAAGCGTAAGCCAACTAATGGCCAAGGGGATTCACCTGGAGTGCGACTCCTTACTCCAACGAGTTCCGACTTTACCACGGGAAGGGCGGCCTCTTCATCGGTCGTGCCCTCCTGAAGTCCGGCGTCTTCGTGTTGGACTTCGTCCCCGACCGCGGACTGCCGACAGCGACGGTATCGTATCGTTCGCCGCCTGGACTCACCCGCCGGATCTTGATCCCGACTTCGACAGTGACGGCTTCTGGCACTCCAACACCATACCTGCAGCAGAGAGAACACGAGCATTAGCAGTTATCAGACAAGAAAGACAAGTACCCGCAAGTGTCCCAACAAAACCATCACCTGCAGTATCGGCAGCAGGACCCAGCCGAGTACCACCACCAGCGACACGAGGACCGCCAACCGAAGCAGACCAACTTATGCCCGCCACACGAGAAGCTTGTCGAAGTCCCGCCTCGGTCGTCGCGTTCTTCTCCAACGCCGACATCTACCACCGCTCGCCCGGTCACCGCGCTCCCGACGACATCTGGCACCAACGTCTCGGACATCCTGCAAACAGCACGATACTTCAAACAATCCAAGCAGAGTGTTAGAACGCAACGCCCTTCTGACGACGAGCGGCCAAGAACTTCGACGACCACGCGCACGGTGCTTCACATGCCCCGAAGCAGATCTTCCTCATCAACCTTTCCCATCCCATCACAACCCAAGCGCACCTACTTACGCTCCGATGGAAAAGTCTACAGCGATATTTTAAACATGCCTCGAGACGACACCGAAGCCGACTTCAACTACGTCATCACGTTCATCGACGCCGCAACCAGATACGTCTGGCACTTCAATCTCAAGACGCGCGATCAAGCCTTCGAGCCTTCACAACATGGCTTCCCATCGCCGAACGAGAATCAGGAACCAAACTCAAGAGCTTCCAGTCAGACGGTGCACTGGAATACCAGTCACAACGCTTCAGGACCTATCTGGCGGAAAGAGGAATCAGACGCCTGGTGTCCCTGCCCTATGCTCACCAACAGCAGGGGGTCGCAGAACGCATGAACCGGACCTTGCAGACGACGATGCGAAAACTGCTTCTGGGGATGAGACTGCCCACACTGTGGCCAGACGCGATGACACATGCAGTCCACCTGCACAACCTGTTGTCCTCGTCATCGCTCCCAACAACGCATCACCACACCTGCTGTGGACGGGAAAAAGGGGCAGCACAAAATTACTTCGAGTTTTCGGCTGCATGGTACAATACAGACCCCACACAGCTCGAGCAGGACGCTTCACTCAACGAGCTCGGTGGGGACTACACCTCGGCATCGCCAAACATTTTCACGCGTGGAAGATTCTCGACATACAAGACAAAAATACGGTGGCATCACGTGATGTTATCTTCTACGAGCGACTGACGCTGCAGCATTACCTGGACAACATTGCCAACTCAGACGACCCCACCGACGGCTTCGCGGGCCTTCGCTCCTTCGCTGACCATGCTGCCGAGGCTGACGCAGCAGAAGAAGACGTCCTGGAGCCTCGGAGCTGCCGGACCACTCCCCTACTGCCCGTACCTGTTCCACTCGATGAAGATAATCCCCTCGATAGCAACAACCTCGACACCTTTTACCACTTCGCTGACCAAGGTACGCTACACCACACCCCGTCGACTCGAATATTTCCGAACGCATCGGCCAAACTTCTTACCCGATCCTGAAGACGGTGATGAAGCAGCTTATCCGGGAATGAAAATTCCCCTCGACACACAGCCACGGGACTGCAGATCTAGGCTATGGGTCTCCGTCCAGCACCGCCGCCGCCTTCTCCGCGCGAGCCTCGACCCTGTCGCAGGCTCTGGGGGGGAACATAAGGCGAAATGGAAGGAAGCATGGAAAAGAGTTAAAAGCTCTGCAAGACCGGAAACATGGAAACTGTACCTGCAACCAACACAACGGGAGAACATTCTCTCGGGGAAATGGGTGTACCGCATTAAGACCAACTCGACGGCTCCATCGAACGATTCAAAGCTCGATGGGTCGTACGAGGCTTCGATCAACGATACGGAACCGACTACACAGAAACCTTCGCCCCAGTCTCCCGTCACACCTCCCTGCGCATCCTACTCGCCGTCGCGGCCACGAAGAAACTACCACTACGCAAATCGACGTCGCAAACGCCTTCTTGTACGCACCTGTGGACGCCGAAATCTTCGTCGAACAACCCCACGGATTCATCGACGACCCTTCAAAAGTATGCCAGCTGGAA